ATATACATACATACATATATATATATATAGAGTATCGAGTATCGAGTAGCAGAGCGACGAATGTTCGAATGTTTAGTGTTATTGAGACTGATTATTTTGTCGATAATATACAAGGAAAGTTAAACTTGGAAACTGTTAAGTGTTGAGTTGATAATCTTCTCTATGTAAAAACGCGATCGACGATCAGCCAGCACTTCTAATGTGGAAATTCTTCAGCACTTCGAAAATGGTGTACTAAAGACTTTAGTCCAATCACCTTGGTTTGTAAGAGCTCAGGAAATACATGACTATCTTGAAATGCAAACTATTAAACAGGAGATACTGGCATGTATAGAAAAGTATGAGTCTCGATTATCACTACATACACAGATTACAGAATATAGTTGAGTTGACGTATTTAGCGACGACGCTCAATTGTCCCAGTATTGACGTTCCGGTATCTATGTCCCGGTTTCGATGTCTCGTTATCGATGTTCCGTCATTTCCCTGCCTACAAAGGTTTTGGAACGAGCCGCTTGAAAGAGCGTGCAAGAAGGTTCTCTTGAGGCACCCAGGTATCGAGGCCTCGACACTGCTAGCGGCTGAGACTTCCTCCAATCGGGTGTTCATGGAACTCTCGGATTGGGCAAGGATTCTACTCAACGTTTAGCAAAAACCTGGACAGAACCAGTAGGGCGAGTACGACAAGGTGCGACTTGTGCGAGAGCGACATAAAGCGCGAGATGCCTACCTGTCGTGCTAGCCCTACAGGAAGTTATAAGACGTTGCCCGGTACGCCTAGGCTCATTGTCTTCCTTTATATATAACTCAATCTTACGAAGGCATTGAAAGGTCGGGTGGACGAAAGGGGTATTTCCGCACGACGTACTATTCCTATAGAAACGTGTGGTGCACCCTGAGAAACAATCGATATCACCTAATTATAAGTCGCGCTGATCCCAAAGTAAGTAATCAAAGCATTTGTGTTATGGAAATCGGAAGCAACAACGGTACTACAAACACCCAGACCCGAGACAAAGTAGGAAAGTTAGTTTTGCTACATTGACCCGGCCGTCGATTTAATCCGGAACCACAGAGTACCTCAGACACAGTGTGCAAGCTACTCGATCACGGAGGTCGTCAAATCCTTTCACCACGATGGCAAACAATTATGGTGTACACCGTCGCGAGGATCAGAAGAAGATTAAAAGGCACAAGTCGCAATGACACACCTTAAATATAAAATCTTTAAATACACTAAGTTTTAAAAATTTATTATGCAATATTAGCACTTATGCTTCAACAAGACTGGCCTTGTATTTTTATTTTTTACGCAGTTTGGTTTTTGTCTTTTTACAATTATTTAGATATTTTTTGTACTTTGTACTGTGAGCAAGAGCCCAGTACAGCTTGGCACTTAAGGTTTAAATTCTACTCTTTTGCGCTTGCTTGAAGAACTGTTTAAAGTTCTAAAGTTTCAAGCTTGATGTACCCTTGATGATGATGCATATAATGTTATCGCACTTTTTTATGTAATGATATTTATTATCTACTTTATTTAAGCACCTACGTGAATATGAAAGTCATGCTTATTGAACTTTCATCCACAGGATTTTTAGCTATACAATCTACAGAGATTGTATGTAGCTAAATCTGTTTCGTTTTTATAATTGTTGCAAATAACTATAGGTAAAAGATGTTAGGTACAATTTTTAAGGTTTATATAAATAGTAAAACATATATAGCAAAAGTTTTAATGGATTTAATCACATACTTAAATTATTTCCCGGTACCAATGTTGGGCACGTGTCACCTGTAAAGTTGTGAACCTTCTTCGACATGCAGGTTTCATCACGATGTATTCCTACACCGTTAGGTATTTTTTTTAGGACGAGTGCGCCTGGTAGTAAGTGACAAGAACAGAGCCACTCAGAGTTTTAAATCGCAATGTTCTGAGGGGCACTGCCACTGCGCCGGTCACCTTGAGACACAAGTGGACAAGTCCCTTGAGCCTATAATTTCATCAGCACCATTACCCTTAAAAACCGGAACGCAATAGTGGTCGCATTACCGCTCGGCGGCAGAAATAGGTAAAACGGTCCATTCACTACCTTCATGGCAGTCCGCCGCGCAGGCAGGAAACTGCTCACACACTATCCTGCGTATGGCCTACATATTATGGAGTCTCGCAGGACGCATTGCAGGATTATAGGATGGCTTGCACGCTGCGACTACATTCATAATCCTGCATTACGCGGCAGGCGGCAAGGCGGACTGCAATGCAGGATAATGAATGCCCCCTTTAAGGTATTCCAATGTATGTAACTTAGAAACTATAAGTAGTCATAGGTTTATATCGCGACAGAGAATCGAACCGTCGACCTCTCAATTACGAAGCAATTCTCTTCCACTGGGCTATCAATTTATTGGCTTGTTATAATTTGTGATACGGCGTACGGAAGATTTAGGTAGTTATCTGACCACAATGTCAACGATAATGTTCTGGCCACGCAGAGGCGGTAGCGGGAACGTTTCGGGCATGGAAATTTTTGTAATGTTTATTTGCGAAGTCACGATATCTATTTTCGCCGGTGTGCTAGGTTGAAGTTTTTGGTTAATACATTTTTTGAATCTAGTTTTTTACTAAGGTCTGTTATTCGTGCGTCATTGTTGGCCATGTAACGTCAGTCAATGTGAATTGCACAGTCATTGTTGCTCAATGAGAGGTAGGATTTCTTATACAGAAATACAAAGATTTAGTCCTCTTCACCGGAGTACTTAGTGACTACTTTTAAACCTTACTTGACATAAAGTTTTTCGTTGAAATCGTCTTTTACATTACGTCATCTTCACATTTCTTCAAATGTACATACTATATAAGTATAAAGAAAGAAAGTAATTTATTCCATTACCACAAAATTTGTGGTGATAATAATTTAATGACACCACAAATTAATAACAACAAACACAACTGCGACTTAAAAAAGTAACCTTTTGTTTTTGTTTAGATACTTTTTGTTTTTTCTTCCGAACAAAAAATTTAATTGAAATTGTCATTACAAGGCATTGACTTATAATTGTAAGTCAATGTTACAAGGACAAAAATTTTAATGTGTGAAAGTAATATAAAACAAAAATACAAAAAAAGATACGCTATATACAGAGAAACTTTGGTGTGGTGTCTGCTGCTGTAACGCAATATTTGCTGGTATATTGCCAATATAAACGCAGTGCGTTTCCCAGCAATGATTTTCAATTATGACCCATACCTTTCAATTTGTTACAAATCAGGTATATCGGTGATTCAGCTCTTTTAATTATTAGATGATAAACATTTTTTAAGGGACTCTTACCTAACCTATTTCAGCCGTCAAGCAGTAATTACTTCTTTCCGATTTTGAAGGGTAATCGTGCTGGACAAATTACAGACGCGCGTCAACCTATGCCTGAGGGTGACAGGCTTAGTGGCAGTGTCACTCAGATCTTTGCAATTTAAAGCTCTTACATTACAACTGCCATGAACAGGCGTATTGGTTAACACCAGGCGCACAACCCGTTCGCCCCGACACTCGTATCACAAAAAATTAAAAAAAAATATATAGATTGCACATGAACTCTAATAATTTTAATCTAATTTTAGTAAGCGAGAGTAATAGGAGCGAGAGGACATCATTTATTTAAACAACGAGAACAATTAGTAGATATTGAACACTACGATTTTTGTAATAAATATTTAACTGTTTACAGATCACAGAAAAAAGTAGTCAAAAATTCAATACCACAGGGTAGTGTTTTGGGCTGTATCCTTTTTTTAATACATATAAATGGTTTTGCCAAAACTTTTAGATGCCGAAACCATACTTTACGCAGATGACATTACTATAATATTTCAATGCAATGATAGTGTCGAATTAAAACGAAAATTAAATATTACATTAAAGCAAATTACAAACTGGTTAACAGATCACATTTTAATATTAAACTTTACGAAAACCTAATTAATCCATGAAAAATCACGTCAAAAACCACCAATGAAAATTGATTTGTCATATGAAAATAGTAAAATAACATGTGTAGATCGTGTAATTTATTAAATTAGAAATTGACTCAGGAGTTAATTGGAAATATCATGTATGTATCATGTGTCAGGAAAGTTGTAGAGGTTCATATACGCTCTATTCGAATTAAAAGATGTACAAATTTAAAAACTGCTTTGTCTGCGTATTACGCCTACGCGCAAGCTTGGCTAACTTATGGTGTCATTTTGCGGGGTAATAGTGCTCATGCAAACAGTCTCTTTATTCTGCAGAAGAAATGCATGAGAGTATTGGCAAACATAACGGAAACAGATACTAGTAGACCACATTTTTCTAGTTTGAACGTTTTGACTTTGACATCAATATATGTATTTGAAATTAGTAAGTTTGTAAGAAAGTACAAGCACTTATTTGGTCAACGAACTAATAATCTTTATGTAGCTAATTAGAGACCACGAAACAAATTGATTGGTTCTTTTACAAATTTAGAAACTGTTAGCTCGGGTGCATACAATATGGCAATAAATTTATAACAAAATACCTCATTAAAAAATGGAGCAATTTTTTTGGACTTGTGTTATAAATATCCGCGCCGAACCGGCCAAAGTTATAGCCCCCGTTTGTTTAATGGCACGTGCCTGTGCGTAGTCAGCCCTGAATATTTGTTAAAACCTTTTACAACAGTCATTGATTACAATGCTGATTGACTACAAATCAATAAATGTTTACGATTACGACTTTTTGAGAGAGTAACTACAGTGTGTAACTGAGAAATATTCCTTCATTATATTATTCCAATGTTCTTAAAACTTCTAAGTTACTTCATTAAAGTTATTATAAGCTCACAATGTAAACCGTTAAGCCACAGAGGTATTCAAGGCAGTGGCACATTATTAGTTTGCCTTTTTTATTTAGATTTTAGATGTTGGATTAAATGATCCCCATCTCACCCGATTGTGAGAATATACAATATAACATAGAAATGAGACTCCAGTGACTGTTACAAATTATTTTATAATGTCTTTTGACTATAAATGCAAACAATGAAAACCACGTCCTTTCTCGTCAAATATAGTTTTCAAAAATGTGACCGCCCCCTTCATCACCGTTCCCTTGATACGGGTTTTTAACTTATTTCGATAAAACTAATTCTTAAAGCAAAGTAAGTTTTCTTACAAAATAAAATAAAGTCTCAATACTCAATACTTTATTGCATACCATAATGTTATAATACAAGTTTTTTTGATACTGTGGGTAAAAGAGCAATGGGTCGATAATTATTAGGATCCGGTTTAGAATTCTTTTAAATAGAAGTTGTATTATAGCCTAATAAATAAGGGAAAACGCCTTCATTAAAGGATTGATTGAAGAATTAATGTCACGATTCGATAACAAGATGGAAAGTGACGACACGGTCGACGTTGTAGTATGCACATGCACACCTATATTATGTCTATTCACTCTTGCCTTGAAAAGGCCCTAGATGCAAGTAGTGTTCAGGGAACAAATCTGCAAGCTAGGAATCCACTTCAATAATATATAAATGTGGCAGCGTAACACTTGCGAAACTTGGGCAATATCCACAGTATTGGGGTGGAACCCCAGTCTACGTCTTGTAGACCTTACCTTACCTATTTCTGCCGCACGTACTTAGCACGGTTTGCTGGAACACGCTGGTTCGAATCCATTCATCATCATTCAGTCATTTTTTAAATACCGAGCGAACCGAGCTCAATTCTATTATGAATGTGGCTTGAGATGACCCGCACTAGGATGCGTGAGTGCATCACGAATTATGCAAATCTGTGCATCTGTATAAGCACGCGACGGGTGTGTACACATACAAGCCACGCTGCTACGATTGTATGGAATTACCCTGTCTTATTATATTATTTAGTAGCAGTAGAGCTCCTTGTGCAAGAGTTCATCCAGGGTAGTACTGCCACCTTGCCTATTTCTGCCACCAAGCAGTAATGTCAGCATTACTGTGTTCCGTTCTTGAACGGTAAGGATGTTGGTGAAATTACTGGCACAGGGGACTTGTCAATTTAAGTCTCAGGGCGACTGGCGCAGTGGCAGTGCCCTTCAGATCTTTGCCATTTAAACTGCAACTATTATGGACAGGCGTGCAGCTTACCATCAGGCGGACTTGTTCGTCCCGTCAGTTGATATTACAAAAAAAAAGTAGAAAGGGGATAGCGATTCCGCTACCTCATGCAATTCCGTCGCACACTCTCCGTAATATATCCTGTAGTCTGATATGTCCTATAGAATACTGATAAGGACGCACCTTCAATACAGTATTCAAGGCTTTGCAGCTTCGTCTCTACCAAATCCGAGTCACCAATAAGCCTCTTGGCACATCCCTCAATGGAATCCAAGGTGGCCAGTTGGTATATAGCAAAATCATCCCATAAGTGCAGCAATTGATAGCAGGTACTTAACGATGTCGTGCATATTATTATTATAATTTATATTATAGAATACTTATTGACAAAAAGTGTTATCACATATTCACCTATTACTCGATAACCATGACATGACCCTGTAGCACTGTTTAAAATGTGCTTAAACAAACTCGTGTACCGTGCAAAGCTATTACCGAAATTACCTTTTTTATTCAGCGACCATTAGTCGTAATTTTAAATATATAATGTTGTTGTATATACATACATATATATATATATATATAAGAATGTAAGATTTTGTAACCAGCCAGATTATCCCCGTAGTACCTTGGAAAAAATAATTTGCTCTTTCAAATAGCAATAAAAAAATATAATGTTAAAATTCGTTCTATGTTTTGCTGTTTCGGCTATATCACTGAGTCATGTTAGAGTAAGTCTATATTTATTCTTTCAAATTTATTTACGATCTTTTTTCAGAAAGTAGCTACTTATGTAGCACTTTTTTAAATACTTTATTTGTTCAGGGGCTTTGATCATTATTGAACACGAACATGTTAGCCCCTTTACAAAAACAATTCATCAAGAAAACACTTGGTAGAATCCAAACAGATAAATCAAACCTAACCAAACATTCGTATCAGAACAGCTCCTTGTGAAAGAGTGTGTCCAATTGTCCAGGGAATACCCATTTCTGCCACAAAGCAGTAATGTGAGTATTATTGCGTACCGTTGTTGAATGGCAAGGGAGCTGGTGAAATTACAGGCACATACAAGTCTACTTGTTAATCTATATTCCAGGATGGCGCGGGCAGTAGCGGTACCTCTCAGATCTTTACGATTTAAAGCTCTGTGCTATTTAAACGTCCCTTAATTTAGCATCATAAAAATTAACATGTATACGAAATTTTCGCAGCACCTACTTGTTGGTTCAGACAGATTGAAACCACACAACATTAAGTGTACTAAAACCTACCTGTGCAGATAACCGCGCTGTGTAGATTCATTCAGGTTAAATATTCTGATAGGTTAATTCAGGTCTTCAAATGATGTACATTCTCAAGAGTTCCATACACTTCGCAATTTGGAGAATTCACTCTCCTCATCCAATAAAAACAATTGTTTAATAGAACATGTCCGGAGTACATTGTTATTAGGGTGGCTTATTCGTGGCCTGTAAAGCCATTGATCACTGGGAATTAACTGGGATTAAATTAACTGAAGAATTATGATCGGGCTAACGTAACAAGAGTTTCCGCTCAAAATTTCTCAAGTAGAAAAGTTTCGAGAAATTGGGGCAACTTTTAGACGAGAAAAATATCACCGAGAAGTAGAGAAATTGATTTAAAAGTTACATCATGTTTGCACTCTTGGTTCTCAATCGTTCTCCTTATGAGACACGGGGAGCGAGGAAAAGAAGGAAACGTCTTCACTGTAAAAAGTCTCGTAAAAATTACATTTTGCAAACGTATATGGTATATATAAACGTATACCCTAAAACAAGCCCATTATTAGACATAACAATAATTTGAAATTCTGCCATGATTATTGTTGAAAGAATCATAAAACTGCAAGATGCCATAAAAAGGCAATATTTTTTTTGGAAGCAACTTGAAAACAAACTTAAAATATGAAAAAAACAAATATACAATGTTTTAATGGAAGCAAAGCCAACATCAACAGAAATTTAAAGAGCATTTTCAAGATTTACAATTATATTGTTTCGAAAATACGTTCACGTCGTTACAGGCTAGGTTTAAGCAATTAATGCGATTAATTTTCGATTGTTTTTCATTGTAATTGCGAAAGATTCATTAATATAAGACATGATATAATTATAAGTTCTAATTTTTTACTACTTTTTAGACTTTTTAATAACTAGTTGATTAATTTTTAAACTTTTCAATAATCTTGACGTACCAAACAAGATGGTTCTAATGGTTATGTATGTTAATCTAGATGTTCCACCGAGTCATGCAGTTAAAAGTCTGGTTGATTTAATAATGAATGATGTAGCTCTTTTAAATAAATAAAACATGTTGATTCTAAAGAAAATTAAACTATTTTTTCGGATCTAAATCGGGTATATTTGTTTTTTCAAACGAACCAACGTTTTTGGTTGTGATCATGGCACATGTAAAATGGCAGGTAAAACGCTATTCAAATCGATAAAATAGTTTTAATTACTAAGTGGTAACAATCGAGAAAAACCGAAGAACTCGATTAAGTATATTATGTTCCATTTTATTAAAGTTGAATGATTTTGGAACGTTTCAGAAATTTCTCAAACAACTTCAGAAACGCGGGTCGCAGAATTCTGGTTAATCGAGGATTAAAATGTGTCGAGAAATCAGACACTCTAAACGATAATTTTAACATTTTCCTATTTTCTTTATAACTCTAATCACGTTTGTCGTAGGATGATCAGAAGTGTGGGCACACACTTATAATTCATCGTCAGGACTAATGGTGAATTTAATTTTCAGGCCAAAATTAGTGGAGAAACCGAACGGATACTTTTAAAGCATTTGGAGGGATTCGTAGAAGTGTGCCGCAAAGAGTTAAATTTGGATGTGGGACCTATACTTTGGAACGAAAAGCATATTACCGCTGATGAAATGAAAGCCGTGGACGAATGCTTCGCCGCTTGCATTCTAAAGAAAGGGGGGTTGGTGAGTTATTTTAGTGGCTTAATTATAAGTGGCCCTTATAATCTCTGTACTTAGTTATTAGTGAGCTGTGATAATTAATTTTTAATTGAAATCCATAGAAATTTAGAATCAGCTGATTCTTGCACCATTTTCCCAATTTTTATTTGGGGTTGAATCTTCTTTACATTTACTTTGTACTTACGTATTGCTTACAAATGTGCTCTACATTTAGATAGCGGATCATCTGTAATGCTATTCACAGCAGACATTACTCATTTATTTAACGCTAAAGAAATGGCTTGGGACCGGATGTATGGAATGGGCGCAATGTACTAAACATTGATTGCAACATCTACATCAACTGAATTATGAAATTCTTAGTATCACTGTTAGAAAAGTTGACAAAATTTCGACTTGTCATGAAGACATTCTAAACTTTTGTATGAAATCCAATAAATGAAAATGTGGTTTTTCATCCGAATCATAACTCTTTTAAATAAAAAAAATATCTCACTAATTGAAACTAGAGAAAAAAGGGTGATAAATCTAAATTTCCAGATGAATGCAGAAGGTAAAATTGACTACGACAAAGAAGTTGATGCCATGAAGAAAGTTATTAAGAACGAAGATGATATAAAGATCCTGGAAACAGATTCAAAAGCTTGTCTTTCGGGTTAGTTTTCCATCAAAATTTTCATCTGCATATCATGTCACGGAAGTTGTAACAATTAGTAGAGTATGAACCTATGCTGCCTGTAACTTTCTTACTTTCCAATACGTTTAACTTTTTTTTTACATTTGATCTTCAAATTGAAGTATTTTCATAAAGTCTATAATATAAAAATAGATGATGTACCGAAGCTTTTCAGACCAGATAATTTCACGAGAATCAGCAAGAGGTGCATTTTCAAATTGAGCAATGTCTCTACTGCCTATTGAAACATAGTTATTGCTATTGACCAATGGCTGGTGTTGCAGAAATTTTGAAAAGTCACTTCTTCAAAGTTCAACACAACCATTTCGGTGTTAAAAACTTAATAACTTTCCAGCTCTTCCTAATTATTATGAGAGTTTACTTTATTAATTTAACGAAAAACTTGTTACTGTTAATAACATTCAATTTTCTTGTAGTGAACGACGAAGAAGTGAGTGATGGGGACAAGGGATGTGAAAGAGCTCATAAGTTCGTAAATTGTATGACAATGCAAAAAGTAAGTACTTTAGCATGAAAAATGTATCACATTTTCAACAAAATACGATAATTTTAATTATTAATAAGTATTAATTTGAAAATTTTTCGTTTTTCAGAAATAGTAAGAATACTCTCCTGGTTTGATAATACGCACAATTTAACACACCCTTGACTACAATATTACAGTTTAGTTTGTAGTTTTCGCAAAAATAAATAATGTGCATGTTGAATCTACAAGTACGTTATTTGTTTTAGTAATTGTTGACCCAATTAATTTAGGATCTACAAAATACTAAATGATTATCGTTAATTACAACGTTCTTACCACGGTGTTTTATTTTTATTTTCACGACACGGACTAGCCAGCGGTAGTTGATAGCACGTTTAGCAACTAATGATCTCGATGGCTCTCGTACCAAAAGTGGCAGTAGCAACGTTCTGTCAACAGTACTTGGGGGCTATGTAGCTTGCTCCAGTGGTTAGTGTCATCCATGTAAAATGTTGTACTATAGCTATAGCTGAATTCTGTGCAGCATTGTTTTTTTACAGGTCGGATGTGTTGTTTCATACGGTCGACGATTGTCCGTTAGATTTAACATGTATTTAACCGATGTACGAGCTTTTGCGATTGGATTTAGCATATTAATGGCTGCAACGACATCCCGAACCTTGATGAGAGGCGCACGAGGAAGCCTTGGTTTTCTCTCAAGAGTTTCGTACTGAATGAAAATCAATTGGATAAACAGCGTTTACAACAACCCAGAAAAAGCATGCTTTAGCATTGTTCTTCACATTTGCACATAAATGTTTAAGAGCATCCTCTCAATGGAATATTTTCCCATTCTTTTCCTCAAACCATAGAATAATAAGACGTGTAGGATAACTCCATAAAATCGTGGCTAGTACAGACGCACACATTCGTATAATCTCGAGGTGCACTCACTTTGTATAGCGAGGGTTGATACATGCGCCTTTGATTATAGAATTGAAGCATTCACTCGGTGTTTAAAAAATGATATGTACACGTGTTTATTGCTGCGTTTACAGTGGTTAGAATAAGAGTGAGTCAAACTCAGAATTGTTCAGCATTTCATTTCTATTTCATAATAGAGATACTAGTATGCGATCTTCGTATAATCATATTTATATGTACTGCATTTAACAAAAGACTTTTCTATATAGCACGAGTGATGGACACCTGAAATAATAACGGAGTGTCGTCACATGACAACACTACGCGAGAGAGCTGCAAATATCGATGCGCCGAACAGTAGGGCTAGCACGATAGGGCGCGACATAAAGCGCGAGATATCTATGAGAATACAGCCAACTACAGACCCATCTCGCTAGCTACTGTGGTGGCCAACGTATTTGAGAGACTTATTCAGGCTAGAATGGAACCATGCTTAAAAATAAGCGATGCACAATTTGGGCTTAGGCCGGGGCTTTCGACGGACATGGCAATATTTTTGACAGGATAACTACATGCGTGCGTATTTTCATGTTACATTGGACCATTCCATCTTGTGGGAGAAGCTGTCTAGACAGGGTGTACCAAATGCTCTTGTTGATTTGTTGGCTTATTGGTAGAGTCATCAGGAGAGCAACATTAGGTGGGGAGCTGTCCTGTCTGACAGCTTTAAATTGAAATGCGGTGTAAGACAGGGTGGTCTGACTTCGCCTGATCTGTTGAATGTATATACAACATATCATATATAATACATCACTGATTTGATTGAGGAGCTGAGCAGCGCTAGGGTAGGGTTGAGATTGGGTGATAGATTTGTTAACAACATCAGTTATGCAGATCATATGGTGCTGCTCAGCCTGTCGATCAAAGGTATGAGGAAGTTAATTTCTATATGTGAACGATACGCCCAAGCTCATCGCTTGGTGTATAATTAAAAACAGAAAAAGACTGAAATGCTCGTTTTCAGGTCAGGAAAAGGTACTTATGTAATTCCACCTGTATATTTAACAGATCAAGTTGTTAGGGTGGTCGAAAATTTCAAATACGTTGGCCACATCGTATCATATAACGGATTTGGAGAGACAGCGTCGAGTTCTCTCTATAGTCGGTAACATGATCACCAGAAGGTTTAGAAAATGTACCGCAGACATTACAATGTGATCTGTGGCTAGAATACTCCTGTTCAAGACCTCTTGTTAAAGTTGTTTGTTCTATACTTGTCAATTTTGGATATACTACACAAAGGCGTCTCACGATGCCTTACGTGTTCGGTACAATAACACATTCAGACAGTTGATGGGACTGGAGCGGCACTGTAGGGCTAATTGTGTGGTTGTATTGACACGTTCTGTGCCATCGTGAGACGCCGTATAGCTCCTCTTATGGATAGGCTTGGATGGAATAGCAATGGCACAATTCGAGAGATGTTTGCTTGCCTGACTACCATGTCAATATACACCCGTTGGCTCGAAATCGCCACGTAGGTAGGCACAGGTAGGCTTGACTTGAATTAATATAATTCTTATTTTATTTTATCTTATTATTATTACAATATTGGAACGCCACAGGCCGGATGTCGGTTGATTTCATGGAGAACCTCTATATGATGAACACTTTTTTCAGGAAATCTCCAACTCCAACTGGATGAGTCCGGACGGTAAAGTAAAAAATGAGATTGACTTTATCATGTCGACGAAAAAGCATGTATTCAATGATGTCTCTGTGATCAAAACCGTTAAAACAAGAAGTCATCACCAGTTGGTACGGGACACATTGAATATCAATATCCGGCTGGAAAGAATTCGACTGATAGAGTCTACGCTCCGACCAATACCTGCACAACTCCAAAACCCCGAGAGCTTTCAGCTCGAACTTTAAATAAATAACTAATAAAAAACCTCTGTACCTTAAATGGAAAACAATTGGTTTTAAAATTTTTGTAAACACAAAAGGTGCTAAAGAAAGCCCGAAAGGTAGACACTGGAACTCATAAGTATGATTTTGGATTTGAAACGTAAGTATTTTCTGGATGATTTATCAATTGGCACAGAATAGTAAGCTTCCCTTGTATCAATTGTTCCCATGTAACAATTTTTTTGAACCAGTTTCATGGCCGTACGAATGTATATGTTTCCCTCCATCTTAAATTGTTGAGGTTGTATAAATTTATTTACTGATTATAAATTTAATATGAAGCGGTAGGTACTACTAGCATAAGACGTAGCTCAGGTCGCGTAGCGAGAGGTACTTTATAAATACAAACTGGGATTATCTTCATAACTAGATATTTATTGTGTTTTTCACATATTCACTTATGGAGGAGCTACTTCTAGATCTGCCAAGATGTTCTTGTTTTTTCTATCTTATTTTTTTAAATACATTCTAAACACAAATCTATATTCATTCAGCCAGTACTTCTACTCATAGAGTAGAGCCTAGCCTACATCCCTCTTCCTCACAACTGAAGGGGAGAACATCCCTAGCTGGTGCCCTACCTATGATAGGCAACTTACATAAGTGATCAGCCTTTACTATAGGCTAGCCACACACTGCTCGGAAGCTACTACCTTACCAGCAAGCAAACCACCGAGGAGGCTGTGGCTTACGTCTGCCAAAAACCTATCTAAAAGGACAGACCATGACCACTCCCTACTCAAACAATTGAAATATATTCATTAATTAGCTGTCCTATCTAAATCCTAAAACTTACTAAATGCCTCACTAAACAATCTTCATCGTGCACGCTGCTACGACGACGACCTAGGCGTAAACGTTTAAGACGAATATCGTCTTAAACGTTTTGCAAAACGTCTAATCTTTCGTCGTAATTCCGAGTCTTTATCTTTTCGTTTTCTCTTACCCATGCTTTCATACTTAATACGATATTTTATAACTATCCTTATTAATAAGAATCGCACTACACAACACAGAAAATAATTTGAATTTTAAAACGATGTTGTGACGCCCGCACAAAAACAGAGAATGAAACATCAAGTCAGGTGAGCGTGGGTGATAGCTGGGAGGGGTACTCATAGGTAGGATAAAATTTTTTTTGCTCTAAAATTGTGTGACGCCTAGTACATTGAACAGTGAACTACTTAGTAAAATTATAATAAATCTCGAAGATGCAACGTCGTAATATCATTCTATAGGTGCGAGATGTTGAATAGATTGGGTGTAGCAGGAACGGAGTGAACAGAACAGCCCTATTTACTTGGTTATTTTTTTAACTTATTGGTTAGATGCAACGCTAAATTTAAGGTATTTAGGTGGATTCACAAATGCCCTAATTCTGGCAATATATATAGCTAAAGTTGCAGCTCCTGATTGGTTAACTCAAGATCATCGCGTCACGCGATAAGTTGCGGCAATATATTGCCAGAATTGGGATTGTGAATCAAGCTGTAGTCACTGATGATGAAGCAGCAACCAGTTGTATCGTTAGATATCGACTTATATATCTTATAGCACCACCTAACCCGAACCAAGAGCATTTGTCGAACAACCTGTTAAAATGAGCTGAATTTTTCAAAATCATTAGCAAATGATTCGTACGGATAATGTTGTTAACTGACAAGTAAACGTCCAGGGTCGAAGTTTATGTGATCAAATGGACTTTTACTTTTATCGCATTATTATTGCGCGAATGTTCAGTACTCACAAATTTATTGCTTTTCCATAATGTTCATTCGTTACGTTGTACAAATAAGTTTCTCTATTTATATGTCGATGTCGGTAACAATAGATAGTCATATAGAGAGAGTGATAATGGGAATATCGTTTTCCACACACTTCAACGAATCAAGCTGTTTTTGGCTTCTCTATAACATTTCGCTCCCCTTTTTCATTGACATATCGCCACTCGATGCCGTCTCTAGAACACTTCTCTCGCATTGTTGTCGTCAGTGTCACGTGATGTCTTCTTGACAACCCCTACTAAAACAACTATACGTACCATATATTATGTAGTTCTTGTGTAAAAAACCTAACCACTACATCCTGTTCACAACTCTTAATAACCTTGTTGAATAAAGATAAACATACTGTTTTTAAGCAAATTAAAATAAATGGTTGTTCTCAAGTTTTGACATCTAGTACCAAACAGGAAATCGTCGTTTTAATTTAATAAATAAGAAATTAGAGTAAAAATAAATAGATCCTCTAACTACTATTAAAAAAACAACTTTATACAGACAAGTTTGCGAAATAATATCCACAAATACCATAAACCCGCAGTCACATATAACACTCAGAGATCAGCTCATCTTATATAAAATGCTGCCTACTACACCGACATTAGTTCAAGCCGGGTTCAAGTTGATGTGGTTTTTGAGCCTGGTTTATCTCAAAACCCACATAATCTCATCTGTCGACATACATCACTACCATATGTCATAGAATAAGTAGCAGCAGAACTCCTTGTGAAAGAGTTCGTCCAGGTAAGTACTGCCACCTTACCTATTTCTACCGCCAAGCAGTAATGTGAGCATTATTACGTTCCGGTTTTGGAAGGGTGCTGGTAAAATTACAGGCACAGATACTTCTCAATTTACGTCTCAAGGTGACGGGCGCAATGGCAGTGCCCCTAAGATCTTTAGGATGAAAAGCTCTAAGAAGCACTGCAGCTGTCATGGATAGGCGTGTCGCTAACCACCAGGCGCATGACTGTTCGTCCCGTCAATTGGTATTATAAAAAAAAACTTCTTAGGTGTTTATGGTAATCCAGAACCGGCAATTCCTAGCTACCTACTCATTATTATAATTATTATTTTATATTCGTAAATGTATTGGCTCAAAGTGTTATATACATATTTACTTATTACTTGATAATAATGACATGACCCTGTACTTAGTCGTATAAAATGTAGGAACAAACTCATCTACCGTGCAAAGTAATTACCGAAAATGACTTCTTTATTCAGTAAGCATTAGTCAATATTGAACGTAGTCGTATATATATAAGGATGTAAGATTCTCTTCGTGATCATATTACCGCGGTGCCTAGTACCTTGGAGTTCAATTTGAAGGGAACCTTTTGCAAAACTACAATGTTCAAATTCGTTGTGTGTTTGGCTGTTTTGACTGTTTCACTCAGTCATGTTAGAGTAAGTCTTGTAAATTTGTAGTTTCAAATTTATTAACTGTTTCTTCTGTCATTTTGTGTAAAAGTATCTAGTGCGTGACTTATCATTTGTATAGACCTTCCACGTTGGAACCAGTAATCATGGAAATATTGTGATCAGGCCAATGTAACGAACCAGGAAAATGATATTCCTGTTTTCTTTATAATTCTCAACATGTTCCTCTCAATAGGATTACCCACAATTTTCATTCATCGTTACGCGATTAGGACTGAAGTCGTGAATTTAATTTTTAGGCCAAAGTTACTGACGAAACCGAACAGGCGCTTTTGGCGCATTTGGATGGATGGATGGAAGAGTGCGGTAAGGAGCTAAATTTGGATGCGAAGGAAATTAAAAAACTGCATGTAACTAATGGCAAACTTGAAGGCATCGACAAATGTTTTGTTAGTTGCGTTTTAAAGAAAGAGGGAACGGTAAGTTATTTAAGTGTCTTAATCATACGTGTGCCTTACAATTTCAATGCCAAGATTTATATAAATTGTGATAATTAGTTTGTAATGTAATTATTTAAATACTATCTTAAAAGTATATCTTGCACAAAGGTTTCACAGAAGACATCACAATTTCTTTCAATGTTAAATAAATAGCTTGAGATTGGGTGTATGGAATGGGCGCAGTACACGCCCGCGCCTGCTTCTAGACGTCATCAAGTATAATGAATGTGCAAGGTGTTCAGTAAAAAGTGCGATATTTAAAAGGGTCATAATTACAATGAATTAAGCAACCCTTAATATCACTGTTACAAATTTGCTTGACGAAATTTCAACTGAAGGCATTTTGAATTTTTGCATAGGAATTCGAAATATTAATATCGCACTAAATACTGATCCCTCTGTCGGTATAGAAAATGAAGCGTGTTAAACTTGAATTTCCAGATAAATAAAGAAGGCAAATTTGACTTGGAGACAGCACTTGAAGTATTGAGGCAAGTCGTTAAAAACGAAGACGATTTAAAAATTATGGAAGCCGCATCAAAAACTTGTCTTGCGGGTTAGTTGGCTTTAAATTTCTATCTGCTTGTCATAGCCACCTAAGTTTTAATAGTTTGTGGAGTATAGACTTATGCTGACAATAACTTCCGTATTTTTCAAAACATTTCCATTTTGTTTTCACATTTGGTCTCCAAATTAAAGTAATCATATTTCATAACGTTTATAAAAAACATGACTTCTCAAATGCTCTATTGCAAGCTTTTAAGACCAGGAAATCTCACGAGAGTCTCATCTATAAGATGTTTCACATTCGTGTTAACAATACTTTACTAAACGTTGCTAAGTATCGTTTGGGATACATTGCGGTGTTATTTGGCTAACAAGAAGATTGAAGTCAAAATTTAATACAAATGCAACCATTTCAGATTTCCATGAATATACGAATGTTAGATAGAGTTGGTCAAGTTACGGAATGTCAACTTTGTAACATGTTTTTTCTAATTCTTGAACTTTTGGTAAGCAAGTCGTTACATAAGTTGTATTATGGATTGATACGAACTATAATAATATGAACTTATGGATTTTTTAAATCCGCGTCGAATATTAGAATCGTTATTATTATTATCATCAATCCAGTTATACGCCCCACTGCTGGTCACGGGTCTCCTCTCATAGTCCGCCACCTGGTCCTAAATGTGGGTTGGGGACTTCACACGTTTTCCGAGGGTTATAGTGCAGTCCTTCACCAAAAAGCCCATGGCAAATTTCAAATTAAATTTCATATATAAATTCCGAGAAATTCAGAGGTGCGAGCTCGGATTCCAACCCACGGCCTTGGCTTGAGAGGTGGTAGATCAAGGCAGGTTAGGTTAGGTTAGCCATACAAAATGGTTATGGGCAAGCTCCGGCCATGGGTCCCTCCGTTGACGACAAGCTTCGACCCTGCGTTCGTGGAGAGGGTGGTGGTCACCTTCTTCCCTAGCGTGATCGGGAGAGGGCCGATCCTGCTCGGCGGCGGCGTACCTTCGCGGCTGCGGGCGATCGGAGCGGGGGCTTCGTTCGCCAGTAAGTTAGGCAGCCGCGAGGAGGACGACGGGGCGGTGTGCCCCGCTTCGTCGTGAGGAGAGGAGGGAGAGGACGTAGCTCCTCCTAGGTGCTGGGGTGATTCCGGTGCGCAAAGTCGCTGCCGGATCCTTCCCACTAGAGCACACGAGAAGACCACAGTGGGGTTTTAGCCGGTAGAAGTCGGCATAACCTCCCGCTGCCCCCGCGGCGGAGAGGTATCCTCGGAGGATTTCCCCACGCAAGAAAAAAGGTTAGGTTAGCCTAACTAACACGGCTTGTATTATAATCATAAATACTAAAATTAGCTATAAAGCTTACGACATCAAGGACGTGATTACTCGCTTTCTAGCATATAAAAATAGACAATACCCGCATAGAGCTGACCACGGCGAGCGTCTGTTACATTTCAAGTTAGAGACATCAAAGACTCGGAGACAAGTTTTCGACCTAACTTTCCTCTGTAAGGTCACAAGTTAACTTGGTGATACCCAGAAGGCTTCCACGTTACGCAGTGCGAAAAATATTTTCGGTTCCTGTATTTCGTATTAATATGGGCCATTTTTCTCCACTTTACCGTAGCATGAGAACTACAGACGAGTTCGACATCTTCCATGACTCATTAAATAAGTTTAAACGGAACGTCACAACTGCTTTAAACTCCTAAGACGTCACGTGTCAGGGGTTTTGTCATATATTGTTTAATAATTTTTTAGATAGTAGTATTTGTTCTTTTTTTTTCTATACAGTATATTTGTTCCTATTTTCTTTTTAAATTAACATTTTTTTTCGTAAATGCTGTATATGCCTGTAATGGTACAACGTACTGTATAATAAATTATATGTTATAACATATAACTTACTTACTGTACACTATGCATGTTGTATTATTATTATGGCAAATAAATGTATTATTTTTATTATTATAAACTAATAATAAATGACATAAATTTGTAACCAAAATAAATAAATCTATCAAAGTAACATTCGATAATTGTGTAACTTTCGTGTCGATGTCTAAATCTTAGTTTTTACCCACATCACAACGTAGCTGTCATAATCTCGTTTTATATTTATTTACACAAAATTAAGCGAATTAGTTGTTAGTGATGACAATATTTAATTTGCAGTAAACGACCAAGCAGTGAGTGACGGGGACAAGGGATGCGAAAGAGCTTATAATCTTGTAATTTGCATCAGGAAGCAAAAAGTATGTATAGCCACACATTTTCGTTTAATATAATTGTTGATTATCTAAATAATTTAATATATGTACATATATGCTTCTGCGTCTCTTTCCGTGGTGTGAAATTTTTATTCCACTATTATCTTTAACACTAAAGTAGAAATGTCACATTTTAATTCTTTTTTCTTAAGAGAAACAGAATACTCATATTTCCCATTTATGAATCTTTTATTTATCCACTTGTTAGGTTCTCTCGTTTGTTACACATTGAAAATGAAACTTTGCGTATATAAAATGTCTGTATATATTTTTTCGGTTTGTTTGAAAAAACAAATATTTGTGTCGGAAAAAATAGTTTCGTTTCCAATAAATAGTATTGTTAATTTTTCAGAATCAGTAAGAATGCGGCTCACTATACCGTTTTGACAAGGCGCACAATACAATGCACCCGATGGGCTACAATACTATAGTAAACTGTATTTGTAGTTTATGTAAAAATAAATATAAAAATGGATGATGAATTCTCTAAGTACGCTTTTATTTTATTGGTTGCTGATCCTCTTACACAAATCTCTTATACTAAGAATCTTAATCGCCTTCACTGACACCATCACTTAGTTCTATGTCAAAATTGTATTCGTTGGTCATTCTGTTTTAACAATCAGTGAAAAAAATAGGATCCGTTTCCCAAGGCAACAACATCTTGAACCTTGGATACTTGAATTTCTCTCAAAGGATTCAATCTAAGTGAAAGTCACATGGATAAACAGTGCTTACTACAGCCCAGATAAAGCATGCTCATCATTGTTCTTCACATTCACACACAAATGTTTAAATAAATACTAACCAAACGGGGAATGGTAAATAAGAAACTTCTCCTCATCCCTTTCTTGAAGCCATAGTAGATGACCTCGGTGGCCCAACGGTTTATACCGTGGACGCTTGACAAGGTCTCGGGTTCGATTGTGAAGGTCAGGGTGAGCTCCAGTTGCAGACATTCGCCATATTTTACTGGCCGATAACACGTCCGTTCTGTTCTTGAACTTGAAAGTTGTATAAGTTCAAGCGGGCTCAATGCAGATTGGGAACGTGAGTTTAAAAATTGTTATTTTCGAGGTGTTAAACTGTGAAACAAAAATAAATTTTACACCTAGGTTCGTATAGCTTTTGGATATTTGGATGAGAAAAATCTATGTAGTGACCTGTAGGAATAGCATGATAAGGTGCGACTTGCGCGAGAGAGACACAAAGCGCGAGGTACTGCCAAACTCCCATGGATAATGGCGATGTCTCGTCAGTCCATTGAAATGTGTAATGTATTTTGAATATGTTTGGCAGAACACATTCAATTAGAATTATGAAGTATGTCATTTACAAAGAGTTTCAAATCTCTAGAGTATAGTTACCCAAAGTGGTCCCTACCGCCCCCAGTGGGCGCTGAAGAGTTCTACGGGGTAGGGTCCTCGACGGTAATTAGGAGGCGTTGATGCTGTCCAGTTGTCCTACTGAATTACCTATACATGTAAACTACACTACAAATATGATTTTCACCTCACATTATAGTAATAAGTAATATAAATCCGTTGGCATGTTTTATTCTTATTATTGCTGACATTAAATTGACAATAATAACTAATTGTGTTTATTAATTTATTTTGATTCGTCTAAGAACTAAAATAATTTCTGGAGGTGTCAATTCAGAATGCATCCGAACTTTTTCTTTTTAACAAATTGAAAAACCTCCTGATACAAATGTGCTAATATGCAATACAAGATTTTGTTAAAGACAACGAACTCTGATTTCTATATATTAAGCTCTACAATTATAATAATATTAATTATATAGATTAATTGTTTAATTGATACTGCATTACTTTATGAAGATTTTTCATTATTTAGGAGAATTTAATACTTTTATTATTTAATTTATTTTTCAATTATTAATTATTTTTAGGTTCAATAATTTGCATGTCTAAGTATATTTTTAATTCTTAGCTACGCCTTACAGGGCACATGTAATGTAATTTTATTGCATGTTCGCTAATAAATAAATACTTAAATACTGATATTTAATTGTTATGTAACGTAATGTAATAAGTGATGTTACATTTATTAATGTGTGTATACATAAGTGAAGAAACATTTTATTTATTTATTTATTTACTTAAGGTTCAAATCCTGTTGTACGCCTAAACACATGTAGTTGTAGTACAATATTGACAATCATTCGTCTCACCTTCAACGCAAAATCCGCATGGGAATTCACACCGTATTTCCTGGACTAATCGAAGGTCATTTCATCAATACCCATCATGGTCAATTCATCATGAATGTGAAGTTCGCTGGATTAGCTATAAAACGCAATACAAATAGCACAATGATCAATAGCAATTGATTGTTTGTACTTAGACCAACGTGGAAAAAGTATTTGTACCATGAAAAAGTTTGAATTTGTTTGTTTGGCCTTTATTGGCTTCGTTGTGAGGGACATTTTGGTAAGTATCCCTCACGTACCGACATGAAACTTTCTCTCATATATATGTACTTAGAATAATAACGCATAGAAACCTAGTCCGCACACGCTAAGTGAGGCAAATTGAAGCGCGCCCAATGGGCCTACACGAGCGGGCGGGCCTTCAGTGCTCAAGGTCAACTTGCACCGCGAACAGATCAAGAATTTTAGCTAAAAATGACGAAATGTGCGGTAAATGAGTGTAAAAATACGTCAGACAAACATAAAATAGATACTAACATCACATTCCACAAGGAAGTAACGCGTTTCAACTTGTATTTTTATTTAAATATTCACTAAAACCGAAAATTAACCTACTAATAAAACTAGACTACATGAATTTGATTTTTGCCTCACTTGTGACAGTTCGTTTGATATGAAACTATCATTCTATGCGTTATTATTCTAAGTATATGTATATGTTTTTAAATTACTATCTATGCAAATTTTTGGTACTTGAGAAAATATAGTATCATTCAACATATATGGCATGGTACCCAAGATATATTGGTGTTCTGATTAAATTTTATTGAAAACCAGCGCGGCGACTGCCCTGTACCTACAGCAGCACCTGCTGAGACACTTCCCCTACCCTCCTGTTAATATAAGAATAATAATTTCTAATTCCAACAATATTTTCTTAGTATCTTAAGTGTACTTGTTTTTTTAAGGCTTTTATAATTTTGTTTTGTTTATACATAGGGTGCACTATAAGTTTCCGGAACTGGCCACTTACATAAACAAATTTTAAAAAGTAATTATAACAATTGAAAACGGAACTCTTTGGCTGTAGAATAGTTTGTTTCATCTGATTGTCACTTGTTTTTACATTGTGGCGTCATTTTAGAAATTGGTTGTCTACATCATCATGGATTTAACTCGTGAAAATTTTCGTAGCATGATTTTCTACGACTTTAAGTGTCATTTAACGGCTCAGCGGAGCTTCGCTCGGCTTCAAACTGCTTTTGGCGATGAAGCACCATGCAAGACGACTATTTATAGATGGTTTCCAGATTTCAAACGCGGTCGTGTGAATTTCAATGACGAATTTCGTGATGGTCGCCCGTCCACTGCTGTGAACAACAAAAACATCGATGCTGTGCGCCGTATGATCAAAACAGATAGTGACATACCATGAGATTCGGGCGTCTTTAGGCATAGGCATGAGCCAAATACAATCAACACTACACAAACATTTTGGTGTGAAAAAGCTGTGCTCTCGGTGGATCCCACACAATTTGATTGAGGCTCAAAAAACGGATCGCGTCACTTGGTACATGGCATTGGCCATGCTTGCCAGATTCAACGAATGGGCGTCAAATTTGGTGTGGGAAACATGGTAGTGCCCCTCAGATTTTTGCGATACTACAACTGTTATTGACCAGTGTGTTGCATACCACCAGGCGCACGACTTGTTCGTCGTGTCACTTAGAATCGTAAAAAGGGTATAATGAAATCTTCTCTCCAGGCGCTAAACGATGCTCATAAATCTCTGATCCAAACGAAGTTCATTACAACTGGAATGGGATGTCTTAAGGATCATCCTTTGTCTTTTTCTGACATAAATACTTTGAGAAAAAAGATGTTACCTGATGGAGAAAACGCTAAGTGTTTCGCCGAATGCTTGTTTAAGAAACTTGGACTTGTAAGTAGATAGGTGGTACTGTGCACTATAATTTACTAGTTCTTAAGAGTTGATTCTACCTCAAATGGTTTTGGTTGATTCCGCATAACAGTGAAAGTGTTGACACAATCACTTTGGAAAAGAAATATTGTAAAATTGAGGATAGCACACGGTTTAGAGTACGGCGTGAAAACACGATTTCTAAAAATTTTCACGATAGAAAAAACACACCTCGAAATTTTACTATAAAACCGCTGTATTCAATAGGTACTTTAAATACACCAATGATTTTTTTAATACTGACTAAATAGAATTTTTTAAAACTGAACTTAATAGAATACGTATAGTATACGATATGCATTCTTCAAATTGTTTTTTTCGGTTTAAAAAAAAAAAATCTGAAATAAAGCCAGTGTCTCTGCCGCTCGACCCAAAGAAAATGAAAAAAGGAAAAAAAGCTGAGGCAGTACCGACTCTAAAGGAGCACATTGATGGAATATTATTGTGCCAATGAGAAATGAAACTGCTTACAGAGAGACAACGTGAAATTTTAATTATTCAATAAAAGGGTTGAAATTACCAGTTCAATTTTAGTGAGAAGTAAAAAACGTTAAGTTCATATTTCGAAATTTAAATATTTTTACAAGCATTGCTTTAGAATACTCTAAATCACGCGTTGGTAAAAGACATTAAGTCGTATCGTCGTTTGTTTTTTATTTAATATATTTTATTAAGGTGAAATAAATAAAAATAGATGGGTTCATTCTCTTTAAAACGTTCTGTAGTAAAAATGACTATTTGGCACTTAAAGTTATTTACCTCTCACCTACAGATGTATATTGCTTTAAACATTAAGGGTTTTAAGTAGTCTGTAGCATATTTATCTCAATAGCTTCAAATATAATATTTCGATTTTAGGTTATAAAATATTATAATAATAATTGATAGCCTATACATAAGTCCCAATGCTGAGCATAGGCTTCCTTTCACTTTCACATTGGAGTACTTGTAAAGTGGTTCCCCCGGTGCCCGGTGCGGATTCGGAAGTACACACACATCATTAAATTGTTTTGTAGATGTGTGCAGGTTTCCTCAGGATTTTTCCTTCATACATTCCGAAAAATTCAGAGGTCAGAAGTTGAGAAGCGGTTGGTGACACCATTTGGCTACGAGTACCACGGCTTATTTGGGTTTAGGTTTCTCTGGGAAATCACAAGTATTAGATGCGAAACGGTTGATTGTGATGATTGTAGATAGTGTGAAACACCGTAGCTGATATTCTCGTGTTTATAATGTAATTCTTCAAAAGTAATTTAGTCCGTGTAAGTACGATCCAAAGGTATTCTGCACCAACGCTAACTAATAGCAAGAGGATGAAGAAAGAGCACGATAATTTCCCGTAGTTAAATAAAAAGGATCCAATGTACGTCCAGTTTCAAGAAGTTTAAAAGTGTTTCTCACTCTCGTTTTATTGTCAAAACTCATAATGTCATGTAACTTCAGAGATATTTATTTATGTTTGTATATTGGATTTTTTTGCTGATCTGCTACGACTTTAGGAACCATTTGGTACATAAATAACTTATTTTTTGATAATTTTGTAGATTGGATCCTATTTGCTTAACTACGTCCAATTTCAATCGTAATTACTTTCTAGATGGATGATATGGGAAAGTTGTCATCTTCTGGTGCTAAAGAGAATGCGATGCATATTTTCAAGGACAGTGAAGAACATATAGCTAAAGTTGAAGAGTTCGTCAAAACTTGTTCAACAGGTGAAACATAATAATCAAATCAAATCTTTCCTGATTTAAGAATAATCTTTTGGTCTCTTTGAGAAGTTTTCTTTTCCATCATCATAAGTCCATTTATATGTCCCACTTCTGGGGCCGAGTCTTCTCTCAGGCGAGACTTTACGCCATAGTCCGTCACGCTATGCGGGTTGGGGACTTCACACATTTCCCGAGGATTGTAAACCTGCTACGACGAGCAGGTTTCGTCACGATGTTTTCCTTCGCCGAAAAGCTCATGATAAATTTCAAATTATATTCCGCACATAAATACCGAGAAACTCTGAGCCTCTCTCCCTCCTGTAGCGGTAGATACTGTAGCCTAAAGTCATGAATGAAGTGTATATAATTGAAGAAATGTTATTTGCTTCGATAAATGTTGTCTCTTGGAACGGCTTATTCTTTCTATTACAATAGGGTAATGAAACCATTAAAACTTCTTTTACTTAAAACAAACATGGATTTAACGACCTTGCTCCATAGTACCTACCAGGCATCGGTGCGCTATATGCTTTTTCTGAATTCTAGTTTCGAGTTATTTCCTTACACAACAGGTTGATGTTTTTTTAATAGGTAAGTCTTAAAATACCGACTGATGACTCTTTTCTTCCTATTCAACAAGTTATTTTTGCATAAAGATTCACAAGTATAGAATGAAGTGCAAATGTTTAAAAAAAATTGTCTTATTGTACTCTTAAAGATGAAGCGACAATACGAATCGGTGCAAATAATATTTCGCCAATTATACTTTATTAGATATTGTCACTTGAAAGTCTTTAATGCCATAGAAATGTGGACCTAAGCCACCTGTACCCTCGAGCTTCCCCGTACCTACATCTGATCATTAGTTTATTCAGTGGGTACAGTTCTAAATATGTTTTATTATATGTTAATCCGTTTACAGTGAATGCCATGGATTTGAATGAGGCGGCTATGAAGAGCTGCGATAGAGCGAAACATGCTTTTGACTGCTTGGTAGAGAACGCGCCTAAAGTGAGATTAATTTAATTTTATATTTATATGTAATACAATACCTATATAAAAGAATGGAAACAATAATATTGTCTTCTTCAGTCATTTGTGGGACTTTTAAGTTTACGGAAGATGAATTATAAACATTTTTATTTGTTCAGAAATGAAACTATTTTTTCATGTCTAAATCGCGTATTGTAATGAATATTATAATGTTTTAATCTCATAATGCTCATTAATTTTTTTATAAAATTACCCCACTAGTTTGTTATAATTATTATTACAAAGAGAAATTCCTTCAATCTGATAGGACTCAAACCTTTTCTTCGTATTCGATCTTTGTATTAATAATTAATTTGTTTTTTTAAACAAAGAAACGTTTCGGACCCTTTCATACCTAAAGTTATAAAAGTTATTAATGCCTTATTTTCTCCTGTTACCTGTTTGAACAAAAAACAATATATATATAGTATATTGTTTTTTCATTTTATACACAAATACGTGATTTAGATCCGAAAATATATCCGTAAAATAATTTTCATTAACAGTTGATTTTTATTCATTTTTAATCATATTTACTGTACTTAGCTTTAAATGTGTTTCTTATGAATTAAAACAGAATTATTTTTTTGTTTCAGTTTGGATTTGATGTAAACTTCTAGAAGAATACCCATGATAACTAAATTGCTTCAGCTGCGAAGTATACCATATCTTAATTCATTGATTGATTCCACCTACTGTGTACTTATAGCTTTAGAATAACTTGTAATTAAATTGTAGTGGACTCTTTGTAAATTATTTCAGTTGTTTGTCAAATGTGTAAATAAACGTGGGTTTGTTAATTGGGTTTGTTCTTCGCCATTTCGTACCCCGCTATTGTAATGGCATAACGTACGTAATTTAAAATACGCACCCTTATTGTAATAAGGCAATATCTGCCTTCGTGGCGGAACGGTTACCATACCGGACTGCCACGCAGAGGTCCCCGGGTTCGATTCCCGGGCCGGGAGAAGTATTTGCATGGCCTATATTTATACCTCTCGTGAGTTTGGGTGTAATTTGTGGTTATCCATGTGTGTGTCCATGGCACCCGCGACACAGGGTTTCCCTAGTGAGGGGAAATGACAACATTTCAGGAGTTTAAAGACTCCACAAACGAAATTAAATGATAACTTTTTTATTCTTAATTAGAAGTTTTTTGATTTCATTACACAATTTTTTTTATGTAGTTCATTGACCTACAGTTGGTATTATTTTTATGACTATCAAGTACAGCATTGGAATGTATATTTCTCGTGCAAAACGTATATATTTTACACGCGCAGACGACGCGCAGTGTAAAATTTACAAATAATTGTATTAATTTTAAGTCAAAGTAAAAGCAGTAATTTACCGTAGTTGATATCAAAAAACACCTACACAATATCATTTATTCCAGTCGTTTATAATCTTTATTTTCTTAGGTAGAACTTTATCTTCTATATGTTTTCCAAAATTTCCACTAACAGTTCTATTGCTCTTCGGCCGGCATGTAGAGCCTTGAGCTGAAAAAGCAGCTGATTTAGGGGCAATCTTCTTTCAGCTTGGAGTTCATCTTCTCGATTCCATGACGCTTTTCTTTTAAAGGTGATGAGGGCATTATTTTTTTGCAATAGGTACACTTCAAATAGAAATGTACAATATGATATACAATAACTTTTGAAATTGTTTGTTACTTTCTTTGTTAGTGTTGCAGTACAGAATTTAAAAAAAAATCACGTTTATGAAAATCAAAAGGTAGAACTTTTACTTATGTCAATTTGACATTATAATACCGAAGAATAATCTGTCAAAATCAAATTTTCGTTCGGACGTTTCATGAATTAGAATAAGGCTTAGAGGATGGAAAAAATGAAGGAAAGGAAGTTCAAGGAGTAAGGTAAGGAAAAACTAAATGTCAAACTAGTTTCGTTCGAACGAAATTTCGCAATAAAATGTAATTGTGGTAAGAAACATGCGAAATTTCGATCGAAATTTCGTTTTTCGTTGAAAAAGAGTAGACCTCACAGCAAGAATGTCGAAAAGGGTAGCTACACCTCGGAAGCTTTGCTTTTGTTTCCGTCACAGTAGTATTTATGTAGCTGCCTCTTTACATAGCTGCATAGTGGTATTCACATAATTTCACAAATCTAGGTTCTTTCTAGGTTCTTTGTCATCAATTTGTAGAATTCTAGATGACATGCACTATTGATTTGAAATATAATGTTCCCTTTTTGTCTTTAAAGAAAGAGAAACCCGAAAATCTGTGAATTTCAACTTTTCGTTATGTTGATAACGAAGCGTAGAAAAAATCGTATTACATGTTACATAGTGTAGTTGGCCTTTGTGTAAAGTGTGCAGTCTCGTCTGGAGAGGGGTTCTTCCATATCATTGAGTATATAACCAGAAATAGAGACGAAATAAGGGCCATATATTCTTGGCAACACATTAGCGATACAGCTCATATAAATATCAACTCTCGTTTGCACTGAAATATAGACAGGCCAACTACTGACCTATGTGTACGTCTCCGTATATTCCAAAAAATATTCTGTATTTATTGTAACAAAGATAATATCTCTAACAATGCCGTGCTGTTCTATTCGGTAGTGTAGGAAAAACAGCAAAACATCTAATTACTTAACAAACGGAATTACATTTCATCGGTAATTATATATCAAATATGTAATTTTGCAATTTTCGTCTATTATAACAAAGGCCACGTTAACTGGTCGATTTGAAGTGAAACAGTTGACGACACCCATTGACGATACCCGTCAATTGTTTCGAACTCGGGCTAGCCAATCGGAGCGCAGTTGTCACAGTAATGATATGGCAGAATAGTTTTCAAACAAATTAAATGACATTTCGTCTCTATTTCTGGTTATATACTCGATGTTCCATATCTACCACGCTCTGGCCTTTTCGTCACGATGTTTTCTTTCACCGTTAAACTAAGTGATGGTGTCAAAGGAGAATGGTTGTGTTCTGCAGTACTCCTGCTCAGTAGTAGCTTTGTGATGATGTGACCTCCTTCCATCGTCATTCCGCCTTTTTGTCACCTTTTCTCTGGTACCTGGCCACTTGTTTACCAACCTAAATCATGTGCCAATTTTAATACCAATCTAACCTAGTAATATTGTATGACTCGGCCCTTTCGGGGTAAGTCTGTCTCACGTTTTTAGTACTTAAGTAGGGAGTGTTTTATAGCGTTGTACCATGATTGTACCTGTTTTTTATACGTAATTTTGCTGTAAGCCTTCATTTTTTCTTTCGATATTACAGAAATAAATTATGTGGATCGGAGTATTGTATTTTATTGACGTGATCTTTGTCACATTAGCAGTTTACAACCTCTTCAGCCTAATTTTAATTAAAAAAAAAACGACCACTAATACTGAAATACCAAGCCAAAGGATAATCTTAAATTAATATTATGATAGGAATGAAACTATTTTTCCGGATTTAAATCGCGTATATTTGTTTTTTCAAACAAACCGACGTTTCGGGCCCTTTACAGGTCCCATGGTCACGGTTGACATTATGATACATACTTAAATAACTTAAAGTTAATATTATGAATTTTAAATTTTTTTAAGCAGTGACAATAAAAACAATTATTGTGTATCATTCAATAATAATAATTTATTTATTCAATGCTGCTTTCATAGGCTACAGTTACAGTACGCTCTCATGGCGTGTAAAACAAATGGAATTCATTAAATTTTGTGAACATTCTATTTTTTTTTGCTATATTTCTATTACGATTTGTACAGTCGATGCCTTAGTGACCCTCTAGCCGATCTTTTGGTTCTCAGGACCTTCTTAAGCATTCAATAGGAAACAGTAAAAGAATTCCAACGTATTGGTTGTTTGCATTTAGGTAATGTAATTACAGACCAAATTGGCTTAAAAACTTTCTTAAAATGTCATTCACACATGATGCAAAAAGGAAGTTATACGAAATAGTAAATTTTTTTATCGAGGGACCAAAACGAGCCAATGTAATATACCCTTACTAGTTAATCATCCGAGCTTTAGCGAGGTGTCTATTACTCCGAGGGTTTATATTGGTTAGGCTTTTAGTCTTGAGGTGAAAACTTTACTTTTCACTTCGATTGCGAGAAAAAATAAGTCAATTAAGTACGAAAAGATTTTATCGAATACAATATTGTAGTTAAAAATAAATGTACAATTAGAATTATTTTTAATATTATACATTGCGGTCCTTTCGGGGAAAATTAACACGAGTAGTTGCTTGTATCTGGGAATTTGGTATGATGTCTGATGTCGGCTGTAGTGTAAAAGTCGGAGATATTGTTGTTTAAGTTACTCGAAATAAATTACAAATCTGGGCATGTTTTACTCCCTAGGGATTAAATGATACATTTTACTCCCTAGGGAGTAAAACACTTACTCTCTTTTCGTATATGTTTTATAGTAGTCTCTTTAAGTTTTAGTTTTATATTTAAATTCTAAATTTAAATGTTTGTTTTTGGCGCCTTTTTCTTGACTTTAGCCAGTGTTTGTTTTCTGTTTTGCTTTGATAACTACGTGGTGTTTTTCTAATAACTTATTAAAAGCTGTAAGTACATTCTTTTGGCCTTGCTCACTCGTTGTTAGCTTCCACCCTTTACCCTTTCACCCATTGATACAGTCCGCTACAGGGGGATTAGGTTTCTTAGGGTATCGGCTGTACATACGTTTTAATTTGAATCTCTAATGTATTAATAATGACTCTATAGTTAAAGTCAAGGCAAAGTAGGTAGTCCAAAGACTGCATTGTATCTAGTTTTTTGGGTGATGTAGAGGCATAACAATCCCATTAAAACAGGGTATTATATCATGAATCATATTTATTTAACGTATTATAATCTTATCTTATTAAAACTATTGTCCACAATCCAATATGCCACTTATTTACTAATAAATCGAATAGTCCGTTAAACGTAGCAACTTTATATTTTTATAACCTTTTCTCTATTTTGCGATTGTCAAATTTAATATTCTTTAGTTGAAGTCCAGGTTGAATCCGTGCTGAAAAATAAAGACTAATGCTTATAAAAATAATATAAAAAATAAATGTGAGATTCTTCATAACATATCTTTTATTTTTTATAATATTAAGTGATGGGACGAAGAAGTCGTGCGCCTGATGGTAAGATACACGCCTGTCCATTACAGTTATAATATTAATAACCCATGTGCCTGTAATTTCACCATCACCTTTACCCTTCAAAACCGGAACGCAGTAATGCTGACATTACTGCTTGGCGACAGAAATAGGTGGCAGTACTTCCCTGGACAAACTCTTTCACAAGCTACTGCTACTAACTACTAAAGTATCTACGGCATACACTATATGTAATCCTTGCCATCGATCGTGTTGAAAGGATTAGCCAATCCAGGCCCAGACTACTCAATAGTTGCTCAGGACGGACAGGGAAGGAATGCTAAATCGTGCCGGGTGGATTATTTTGTACAGCCCAAGAAGAAGACAAAGAAGAACCTTCGAGATTTAAACGATACAAGATTCACACATATGTATACAACTATACAACATACATACATAAACACATGTTATATAATCAAAAAAGCTATTGTCTTGTGACATCAGGAACTCTGCCGCTCTACCCGCTACTACTAATGCCTTTCAAGCAGTCCGAAGTCCTGGTTCGAATCCGAGATAAAGAAATTTAATTTGAAATTTCCGGTGAAGGAAAACATCTTGACGTCGAAGAAGGTTCACGAACCTCGGAAAACGTGTGAAGGCCCCAACCGCATTGGGCCTGCGTGACGGATTACGGCCCAAGCCTTGTGACGTGTAAATTGGGTTGATGATGATCAGGAACTCTAATTATACGGCGCTCAACAGAGATGATTGGCGACTACTTCACCGACAAAAATCTAGCTCTTATATGTATAAAAAAAAAGAACAGAGACGTTACATTACAGCAACAGAACAAAATAGTTTCAAAAGGCTGCCTTATTATAAATAGTAAATCTTTTCCACCCAGAAGAGGTTACTCTGAGGAGCCCCTTTTAGAGTAAAAATTTATTATACCATATTTGACTCTAATCGAATGACAGCTAAAGGTCTATCCACACATATCCGGGCCGTGCCCGGGCCGTGGCCGGGACGTGGACGGGCCGTGCTCGTCAGGGGCTCAAAAAAATATCGTTGTGTATATTTTGTATGAACTCGTTCACACATGTCCGTGTCCGGGCCGGGGCCGGGATGGGCCCGCAGTTCATACAAAGTAGCCCGCCCCGTCCACGTCCCGGGCATGGCCCGGATATGTGTGGATAGCCCTTGAGGTGGCGAGACAAGAGACGTTAATTCATTTCTTTCGTTTGATACCAAGTGAAGGAAAGAATAAGTCATGCATCTGGTAGTAGACGATATGCCTGTCCATGAAAGTTGCTGTGTCAGTCAGAGGGTTGAATCACAAAGATCTGAGGGGCAATGCCACAGCGCCCATCACCTTGAGACATAAGGTAACAAATCTCATATGCCTATAATTTCCCCAGCACCTTACCTTACCTTTTAAAACTGACGCAGCTAATGCTCACGGTACTGCTTGTCGGTAGAAATAGGTGAGGTGGCAGTGGCCCTGAACGGACTCTTTCAGAAGTAGTTCTACTGCTACTAATACAAATAGTTTGTACTGCCATCCCATATAAATGACCCGGTTTATTTGTAAGGAGTTTATTATTTACCTTTTCAGAGTTTTCAATTAAGCAGTTGAAAACCAACTTCGCGCGGTCGCAACCTTTTTCGCCGTCTGTCACGTCGTCAAGGTTTACTGAACAAAAAAAAGTCGGTGTTTACTAGTTCATATTATTTTCCATCTATATGGACAAACAAATATAAAAGTTTGCTGACAAAATGCATCTTATCGCGTTTTTAGGTTTCGCGATCGTTACACATTGGAAATACTTTTTTTAACATCATGGTGGAAACGTTAGTTTGTTTGAAAAAAAAAAACAAATTAGCATATGTACGCGAATTAAAAATAGTTTCATTACCAAAATGCAGCTTGTTATTCAAAAAGATTTTAGTTATTTTCAGTTGACGTTTGAAGATGCCTTAGGAAGAAACTTACAAACTTTATAAATATGCGCTAGTGAGCCAGTTACTTGACCGGTACCTACGCTGTCAACTCTCTTTTAGACTTTAATGACTAATGAATGACTTTGAAACTTGGAAATTTCATATACTAATAATACCTTTGGAGCAGGTGGAGAGGAAATCTTCAATATTCTTCAATTCTTCTTCATCGCTGAACACTTTCTTGGCTTCTTCTAGAGCACCAGCGTGTGAGAGTTGTCCCTGCTCATCCATCTAAAAGTACATTGGACAGTATTTATTCGTGTACTGCCTAATAACAAAATTGAGTACCAGAGCAACGAAATTCACTTTGGGATACTCCCCGAATACCCAGACCAGAACCAGTTTACAAAAGTTTCCTATATTGGTCTTACCGGTAATCGATCCTGGGACCTCCTCATCCAGCACCCACAGTATAAACCGTTGGGTCACTGAGGTCGTCAAAACTAAAAGCTATTGAAGAATAAATCCAGGAGACGGATAGCATTTTTTTCTTTAATTAGATTACAGCTTCACATGATCACCTTTAAACACAAGCATGACGATTCTCAGAAAGTATTCAGCAATCCTTGAGATAGTGATAGCTAACTACTTACAATGCCAAGGTTCTTAAAGACGCAAGCAGCAAAGCAGCCGGCATTTTCTCCGTCAGGGAATTTCTTGTCTTTGAAGGCTATAATGTCATCAGCAGTTAAGGGGTTGTCATTGAGGCATTCCTTGCTTACTTCCACAAACTTAGACTGGATTTCGGCAGTTTGTTCGTCAGTTATGGCCTGGAATTATTCAAACGTGCACATTTATAAAATGATATAAAGCAAGACGTGCAATAACAAGAATATATTTAGCATCCTGGCTAACCGTTAACAATGTGCACGTAACAACGAAAACGCCATAAAAAGGCCTTTTTATTTATGTTCAACATTTTCAATATTGTTTGTCAAAAACTTTTTAATTTTGGTTTATGACATTTACAAGCGACGTATTAGAAGATGCTTAGTCCGTTGTTTGTCCATGATTGTTTTTATTTGTACCCCAGGTATAATCTCCACAACAGAATTCCGTCGAAGAGATTCATCTAAAAATAAATACTTTGCTGCTATCGAAACGTTGACGTTATTGATCAATATTAACTGACATCATTTAATCGTAACTTACACTGACCCAAGCCTAGTGGCCGCCATTATGGAAATAGAAATAGAATAGAATATTGAGCCGTCTTAATGGGTAGATTTAGCAGCACTGCGCCCTGAATGGCGGGAGATTGTGAATAGGCAAGTCCACGAGTTTGAAGAGCAGCGTAAAGCTGAACTCGATGCTAAACGTGACGAGATAAAGGTCCGCCCACCTGCCATTGACTATAATTACGCAGACGGTGTATACTTACGTGCCCTCAATGTGCACGAGGATTAGTACTCTTTGAGTATATCAGCGCCAACCCAACTAGGAGTCAAAGTGGTCGCTATATCCTAACACGGTCGGGTACATAGACAGAAACTTTTACACATAGCATTGATACTTACAATAGTAGAGTTGACAAGGATTCCAAGGAAGGCGACGAAGAAAACTCTCAAGGTGTACATTTTAAAGAATAATTAATAATGCCTTTGCTACACTATAGAGGTTTCAATGATAATGATGGTAGTATCGAAGCCTCGTAGGATTTTATACTAAACAATGGTGTCGCATAAAATGCCAATATCCTGTATCCTTCGATTAGAACCGTAAGCGATTTGCCAATTTACAGTGACAATTTAAAGAAACAAGGCGTCATCAATTTTTTTGTTTCTGTTTTTAAGGAAAAAAGGTGTACAGTAAATTGTTTATTTAATGGCATGAAGTGTTTGGTACATAAAGTCATCTGTTTGATGTTACATAATACAGGGTTATTTGTAAAATTCTAACAACCTTGCACAACTACATTACAAATAAGCAACAACTTTTATTCTATGACAATTTACAATATAATAAATTTACCAAAAATAAATTTTCAGTTTTTGTTGTAGATATTACCTGACACTGTTTAGATATATTTGGTTGGAAATTCAAACGTGCAAGCGTCCTCCCCGACGGCGCGGACGACCACCAATTTCTTGTGTCTTGCTCTGTATATAACCACGCCACCTTATTTTTTATATTATATATTTTTATTAATATATTTTTCACCCTGTTTTTGTATATTACTACTGACATCTGCCGTTAAGCAGTAATGTCAGCATTACGTGGTTCCGATTTTGAATGGTGCTGGTGAAATAACAGGCACATGGGACTTGTCGACTTATGTCTCAGGGTGACGGGCGCAGAGGCAGTGCCCCTCAGACCTTTGCGATTTAAAGCTCGTGAATGGCACTGCAACTGTTATGAACAGGCGTGTAGCACACATATACACAGCATGCAGAAAACTATAGATTGTGTGATTTTATGGATAAAAAACAATAATAACAATACGAAGAATTTTAATATAGGAAAATGGCTTTAAAATAGGTCAAATGAGCCGTTTTCACCAATGAAGACGAACTTTTGCCGATGTTACAACAACAGACCGCACAATATCTGCAAGGCGGATCAGTGATTCGGAATGTAGGTATTCTTGTAACGCCTAAATGATTTGATTTTAACAAAAAATAAAAATATGCTAGCTTACTTCACTTGTTTTGTATTTTATCAACTGCACTTAGAGGCACCGCGCTTCGTAATAGGACGCATGATAGGCTGTTTTGGGTTACATAATAAAAAATAATAAATAAAAAAACTAGTATAATCATCATTAGCTAGCAGTTGTTAGTGCCTTGTTGCATATAAGCATTCTTTAGAATTATGTGATGCCACTTTTATTTCGCTTACTTACCAAAAGTCCGCCTCCATTACAATAGATTTGGGAAAAATCAGTTCTGCTATTGTCGTCCAATTTTCGGCAAAAATAAAAAAGGTTTGCAAAGGGATATGAAAATTCCCTCATTATAAAAGCTAGCTTCTCTAGCAGCGAGGCAAGAAAATTTTAAAAGCTTCTGTCTACGATGAACCGCTAAAGCACACGGGCATGGGGTCCCAACTCATACAAAATATTTTTAGTACAAAAAAATAATCATAGATGCCGCCATGGATAGCCTGTTGGATATTAAGTAAGCGAAAATGGCAATTTAAGTCATAGTTACGTAATTACAAGTAAAAACTAAAATATTTCATGATAAAAATGAATATTTCCTCTCAATCAACACATTTTTTAAAAGAAAAATACACAACTAATAAACTTTAACACAGCTATTGTTTATCAAGTCAACGCCATCTATGGTCCATACGCGCCGTCAGCTCTATTGATTTAGCTAATGGATCATTATCATTAGATTTGTCATTTAGCTAATGCATTGTCATTTTATTTTGACCTGCAGGCTTATTACCGATCTTTAGCGACCAGTCGTTTTAGCAATAGTTGCACGATTATCGCTGTCAAAACATAAATTCGTATTACGGATCGAACAATTGCGACCAGTCGACTACAGCGCCTCCCGCGAGCAACTAATAAACTAAAACTGCATGAAAATGCTTTGACAGAAAGCGACCGGTTGCTTTTTCGTATTACCGAACCGTAATACCAACTTAGCAATCGCAACTGGTAGCAATCGCGTTGCTATTGTACAATTAACAACCGGTTGCTAAAGTTCGGTAATAAGCCTGCGGGTCACGCTTGATGGCCCTGTTATTAAAAAACATAATACACTTCGCGTTTTGTTCCTCTATTTTGAAACGTTTCTTCAGTTTATTTATTTCTTAATTTTGTTTTATTTATTTTTTATTTTAAAGTTGTTAAATTAAATATCTAACAATATGAATGGTTTTAGTACTTAAAAACGTTTTGATTATTTAATTATTTATTATTTTAAAACGTAGATTTTTTTATTGAATTGAACAAAACGCGCAATCGTTCGTTTACTTGTTTGTTTGTTTTGGAAGCAAAATTTTGCGAATTGACACGAGTCCAGGGGTAAATTGTAATTGTTTGATCATGCTATAGCCACAGACGTAAATTTGAAAATACCAAGACTGGCAGAAGTGCCATGTGATGTCGAGAGTCATTGATAATAAATACCACATATGTCTTACTGAACTACTCTTATTTTATGAATGCCGTAACAGAGTTCACATTATGAGAGTGTGAGCGTGCAACAGTTCACTCTAATGTTTTAAAAAGTTAACTAAATAACACACAATTGGTACGTACTAAAATATATGAAGTTTCTGTTATATAATATATGCCCTAAAATATTATCTTCTTCCTAACTTTAATTTACTGTGATATTTGACTTCAAAAACAAGGGTAAAATATTGCGTCACGCACCGTCTAGATAGTGTACCCAGCTGATATCTTTTACACACATTATTTAATAAAAAGCAATAGTTTAGTAAAAACCAGTAACGTGGTTTTATTTCCGTACACAATATGTGACAGAACTTACTATGTGGTTTTACGTAAGTATATCTACGTAAATTTTAAGACGCAGCAGGCCTAAGTTTAAATCAATTCGACGAATCAATCTAGCTAGTGATAAATAAAAACGCCATCTAGTTACTATGCAGGGTAATAAGCTTTCTACCTCCTACTTTGACGTTGCGTTATAGTCGCCATCTAGTGTACCATAAACGAATCAAAATAGCTCCTGGAAGCTAAAAACTTAGCAGGGACTCATTTTCTTGTATGGGACCGTGTATCTGTATATTCTGTAATCTGTGACACGGGGCTAGAGTCTAGTATGGTCCAACTGAAGCGGAGCTCTTTTTCAATAACATTTATTTGTATGTTATCATTTTTATTGATAAGGACGGTGTGAAGTACAAGTTGCTACTTTCGGTAAGACACGCGCACCCCTAATGGAAGAACAGCAAGGTGGAGTTACGTCAAACATGTTTATTGCTCCATTGGATACAGAAAAATATGACCCACATCCTCTTCAATTCTTGTTGATCTATCTACAATACTAGTCGCTAAATTTACAAGAATTGGAGATGATGTAGGTTATATTTTTCTGTATCTAATGGAGCAATGAACGTTTTTCACATAACTCCACTTATTCTATTCTTCCATGAGGGGTGCGTAGGGTTTACTTAGCCCTGAACGTCATGACGTTCATGATCATGGTCTTTCCATATTTGGGACATATATGAGGATCTACTATCCAGATTTGAAGGCCCCTTATGGCCCGTACTAATATTGAATTGATGTTGCTAAAATAACATAATCATCATAAAATTATATATTTATAATATGTTCCACAGCTAGGTATGGATCTCCTTTAAGGAGAGGGCGGCCGGTTTAAGCAGTAGTGTGCCTGTCATATCGAAGGTAGCAGGGCTAGAGTTCTTAAATACCTAGCAGTATACTGTACTACGTTCTTCCAATTATTATATTACAAGCTTGAATAAAATTTGCTTTGTCTTCTTATTAAATAAAAATTGGACAGTCAAGAGCGCAGCATCTTGAACATTGGGTTTTGGGCTCTTGGTATATAATTGAATTTAATAAAGTGCGAGTATCAACATTATCGTATCGTACTCTTGATTCTATATAAACTTATTAGCACTATTTTTTCGTTGCAAGAGTGTTGCAATTTCAATTCCAATTAAGAAATGTATATTATCTTCATTTTTATTAAATAAGAAGAAGAATAATTGAATAAGTAATAAAAATGTATTACCATAGCTAACCAATGATCCTATACCTCACACTAGTCTCCATCCTTAAGTTTTATTATACACGTATAAAAGATCATTGTAGCTTAAAAATAGATCATTGTAAGTACAAAAAGTTTAAAAAAAAAGTTTCTCTTTGGAATGGAATACTATGTTGATCTCTGCCATATCTCTGTATAGCACAGTGTGAGAAGTCACTGAAAAATTTCCATTTTGAAAAAATCACATTTTGTTATAATTATTAATACAAAGATTAAACACTTGAAAAAAAATCCTTCGATCCGGCTGGATTGAAATCGACGTGTTGTAGCAAACCGTGGCAGACGCTATGCCAACTAAGCCACGGAATTAACCAGCGGAACTCACGATTTTTTCCATGTGCCTGATGATGATGATGATGATGATCTTTGTAACTAGTTCTTAACGTCTTTTTAACCGTAGCGCCATCTATGAGAAATCTATGAAAGTATTTCGTCAGCCAGTTACCTTTACAGCTACGGCTAGAGATGTCGCGATCTTTGTATTAATAATTTCAATAAATTTTAGGGAGTAATTTCGCATAAAAATAATTGAATATCGTGGTGGTGAAACATCTTGACATTCAATAAAACACTTAAATGTCATATTTTTCAGAAAAATAAATATTTTATTCCGGATATTTTTCTAATTTTTTTCCTTTAATATTTGACGTTGATACCTGTCAAAAGTTGAAGATACTGAATGAAAATGAAGTTTATTTTATAATTCATGCTAAATAAAGCTTCAAAACATATTTATAATCAGAAAATGAGCCTTCGAAATAATATTTTTAAATTTTTTCCATTTTGGAATTTTTCCGGAAAAAATTATAATGTACTACGGACATGGCTGTATGTACACAGTTTTCATTACTATTCCCCAAGGATAATTTAAAAAATGATGTGGTTTGTTGACAGCCTTGGCTTGACAGCTGTTGCATGTTTGTCTATTCGAGGGTGATATTTTCGATTATTTTGTGAAGATGGGTCTCTTTGTGGGCTTTATATTTATTTATCTAGGTTTTATATTTTCTCCTCTAAGAGCAGATCAGTGTGTGAAGAAGGGGCCTTGTACATGCGAATTTTCCAATGGCACTGGTTTCGACCTAACGCCTACAGCAAATAATAAGTTTTTTACGGCGCAAATTTATCAATCTAAAATGAATGGAACGCAGCTCGAGTTGTCCACGTATTATTACCACCCGTGCTACGATATACTTCCAAAAATAAACGCGAGTAAACCTACTGACACGTGTGGAGCTCCTTTGTCGGTAAGTTACAAGTAGCTAACTAGAACCAAGGTTCTACTTTATTTTCTAGTTAAGTTGTGTCTAAATTGCACGTTTGACGTCGATAGATTGTAACAGGAAACTCAGTTTCACTTGGAATTTTTTTCATTGTTTTTTTCTGTTTTTTTTATATAATACCAAGTATTAGGACGAACAATTTGTGCCTGGTGTTAAGCGACACGCCTGTGCATAACAGTTGCAGTGCCACTCAGAGCTTTAAATCGCAAATATCTGAGGGGCACTGCCACTGTGTCCGTCACCCTGAGACATAAATTGACAAGCCTCATGTGCTTGTATTGTCACCAGCGCCCTTACCCTTTAAAACAGGTCACAGTAATGCTCACATTACCTCTTGGCTGTAGGAATAGGTAAGGTGCCAGTACTAAAATATATTTGTATAGATGGTGTTACTGCAAATTTTAATACACGTTTCTTAGGCTGCTGGCCTATAATAATTTAAATAAATGACTTTTTTGTATAGTTATTTATAATTGTGGAGACTTGGCCAACTCCAAGGAGTGAAAGCACATGTTACTCCAGGCACTCGTCTATGGTGATGCCTCAGTGGTAAAGACAAAATAAAATAAAAAATACAACTTTTTCTTCACTTTTTGATTTTCTGCTTGAAAGTTTAAGGCTTGTATGTGAATGACCTTATTGTGTAAGGTGGTGCACTGCCAACTGACAGTAATGTTTTCACACAATAACCATGACTAATAGGCAAACACTTAAGATCTTCTTGAGATTTTTTAGGTTTCATGTTTGGCATGCAGGGAAGCAAGAGTGGGCACCATAATTGGACCTTGCTTGAATTTAAAACTGGCCATGATCTGGTACTTGTTGGAGGGGTCGTAGTTAATACATTTATACACTCATGGGCTTTAGACGAATGCTACTTACTTGGTACTTAGTGTAATGGGCTGGTGCCTGCAACTCGACATCAAGGCACCTATTTTGCGTGTAGAGGAATGCTAAATTAAGGTTGAATTATGTTTACAAATTTCATATAAGCCATTGACCACATGTATATTTTGAGCCATGGAGGTTTTAATCTAAATAAAATGTTGATTAAAGTCTTTCTTTTTTCAAATTAAATGTTCTGGCATATGTGGTCAATGGTTTATATGAACATTGTTATTATAATGCAACCATTTTCAGCATTCTTCTAAATATGTCCAAGTGTGTAGATGTGTCCATATAAGTGTTGGAGATTTGGTCAATATTAAATTAAGTTTTATTTTTTACAGATATGTCGAAGCCTAGAAACATTAGTTTTAAATGGTACAGGGATATATCGCTCTGATGGAGGGCGCAATGACTTCATGGGAACTTCTAATGTCTCAGAGTTCTTGCCTGATGGTCGCTCAATTAAATACATGAATGGCCCATCGTAAGTACAATTTACAATTTACGTTTTGTTATAATAGAGCTACAACACCAATTAAATTGAGCAGCCAACTAAGAAGAATGTCAATTTCAACTACAGTAATAGAATTCAGTTAAAGCTGTTGGATATTTTTGCATTTTAACATGAGTAAAATATAATTTACTTATTTTGAATAAATTTTATAAACTAATAAAACATTCAAATGAAAACACAAATGATGTAAAAAAGGTGCCATTTTTATTTCTCATAATCCAAAGATTTGTTGAAAAGGACTTATCCCTACTATGATCATGTGTTGCAAGTTGTAAAAATAGCTATTCCTACTTTCATTTATTATTACTGTAACAAGTTTTGCTGTGGACCATGTTTTATTAGCTGCTCCTGCACTGTAAAACACTATATTATATAATTTAGACTAAACACAATATTTAAAACAAATGAAAAGCACGGCCTGCCTCATTATAGTATAGTTAATATAAATAAATAATCAATGTAAATATCTAACTGAAATAAATAATTTTTTAACAAATAAATAATGAGCATAACAGAGTACGCTGTGTATCCATCATCCACTCAGCTTGTTCTTAACTCACTTTAAGAAAGCATGTGTACTTTGCACGGCATGTAGTAGACGTGTAACTTAATAAAATACAATATCATGTGCGATTTGTCATCATATGATTAATTATATGTACATATTTCAATAAAATAATTTTTATTTAGATGTTATATTTTATTTATTTATGTAGTCAAAGATATTATTTTAGTACATTATTAAATATGAGTCGAATTCCATAATTATTAACTTACTTGAAAATGTAAGTTAAATAAAACCTTTCTAGACCTGTAATGTTGAAAATTCACATTTTTTTCCAATTTTTTTTTGAATCTGTAATTAATATGATTATATTTTCTTTATGCAGCAATTCCCTGGAAACATCGAGGTACGATACATATTATTTTGACTATATTTTTGTTATTAAACAAACTGTTTCTTGTCTGTTCAACTCTCCAGGGATATCTTTGAACTTTATCTCTACAAAATAACTTCTTCACTTGTTAATCTTAAGATCTTACTACTAACTATACAATATAATAGAAATAAATTTAAAATATTTGGGTACAAATTGCATAACCATTGCTCCATTTATTTTCCATGTAACATGTTACAACACAGGCAAAACTCACAAATATCACTTATGCTAACTTATTATTATTTTAAATAATTTTAAGAGTACTTATGAAATACAGAGTACTAAACAAACCGACCTCAAAAGTACGTGGAAATACATATAAATAGGCGCTATTCATAAAAATGAATCTTCATGCGTCAACAGCCACTCTTAGAGGTGGATGATTTTCTTCAAAATTAAATGGGACCACTATGGAGGTACCCTCTTTCCAACAAAAAAAGAATCATGGATACCGGAGTTATCGCGTAACATACATACAAAAAAAAAACATGCAGTCGAATTGAGAACCTCCTCCTTTTTTTGAAGTCGGTTAAAAAGTACTTTAAGTTTGTGAGTTGCGAGAACACAAGCTTGAAATATGTCGCTATTTATTGCCTTACCGTACAGTTACCATACTGGGTTGCCACACAGAGGACCCGGGATCAATACCTGGGCCGGAAGAAATATCCTCATGAATTTGAGTGTGATTTGTGGTTGTCTATGTGTGTTGTCCATGGCACACGCGATACAGGGTTTTCCTAATACGGGGCTATGATTGTATACGTTTTTATCATTATCACTAAAAAAATTATAATTTTTACGTATTGTTACGGGCGCGTGCAGACATTTTCTTGTTTTTCGGTAGAAAAATGAGGCAATATTATACTCTGTCTGAAGTTAGCTTTGATAACACTTTTAACGATTGATCGGTAGTATATTTATTCAAATATATAATCATTACATTTTTACTTGACGTTTGCCATTTTTCTATGGCGTTGATCTTGATGCTCGTGTGCGAAAAATAAGTTTGAAAACCGTTGTTACACAGCCTGTCTGTGCCCATTGTAGCTCCCAAAGGGGTGGACTGATGTCAAAGAGGCTAATTTAATCGGGACGTTTCTTAGCTATATGTGATAAACGTCTGTTCAGCTGTTTAAAGGTTATCAGCCGTTGGCCAGGAAGTGCAGGGATGTTTGAAATTTTTATAAAATGAATATTTTTTGACTTGCAATGACTTGAAATTTGTTATATTGTGGATCAACCAGTGACATTACAATATATGTATAAACCTTGATCTCATGCTGCAATCAGTGGACTACTCTACTCTCGTTCGACATTCCAACCAATTACCGCGTTTTGCGCACTGCATCCGATTCGAATTCGAGAAAATACGAGTATCACTTGTACACTTAGAGATAAAATAATCCCTGTGCGTTTCAGCACGTCATTTCTCGGATTTGGGACTGGAGGGGTCTACTCTAGTTCTCCGTCCGATATCCGTCCGAAACAATTACTGTCAAATAAGTAATACGCAACCAAATTAACAGACAGTGAGAGTTTTAATTTGCTCAAGTGTTACATATTGGACAGTAATTGTTTCGGATGGATGTCGGACGGTGAACGAGATTACAGGGCCACGTAGTGTGCAAACTCTCTTACTGTCAAATGAGCAAATACTTGACTAAATCAAAGGACAATGTCAAGATTGAAGGTTCATTCGCATCATGCGCCTTTTCATTTGCTCAAGTATTACATATTTGGCCGACTGTTATATGACTGTAATTGTTTTGGACGGATGTCGGACGGAAGACGGGAGTCGACCCCCAGGACAGTCTATAGATTACCCAACCCCTCAATTATCAACAGTAGAACCATCGTATATTGTATTTGGGCACATTAAAATGGTCTCACTGAATTGTTAGTTTATAGATGGTGATTTTATTGGCTTTTTGTAGTACTAAATTGTTTTGTATCGGGTTTTTTTTAATTTCACTGTTATTCCCCCAATTTCGACCAATCTATCCATCCATCACTTTGGGTTGTTTGTATTATTGTTTGTGATTACTATCGATCGGAAATCATTTCCATGAACTTTAAGTAAAACCCACAGGGGAGATAATAATTTTCTCTAAAATCCCGTATAATTATAAATAAAAGGCTAAAATGATGTTTTTTAGTTCTTCTTTTATTGTTTTATTTATAACTGACATCGCTGGTAGTAAGTGAAAATATATAATACGGTATTACAAAAACCTATTAATAATACATTTTTTGTACAATCAGATAAATAAATAGGCTTTACTGGATTCAAAATTACACTCACGTTTTCTGAAATGACACTGTCCATAAACCAAAGTTTCACCACAATATATTGTGGTATATTATAGTGGTATATACAAAATGTTCTTTGCGTATTCCGATATCTAGTATATTTACTAATTTTGGCCCTTTAACTTGATAATTAACCCTTTTCGGCCTGCTACTAACTTGAGATAAATATGAATAAAGTCTTTCATTTCTTATTTTTTATCAGTGGATTTCCCTAATCTAAGAACTTGTTAGACGGCTCATATTGTCCGCAGTCAAATTGTATATTCAGAGATTAATAATAAAAAAAAATGTGTAATGAGACCGCAGTTTAAAAACTAATAACCGGGTTTGTAAACTGGTTTGATAGCTGCTAATACAACGTAGCTTCCCAACACTTTCATTTGGTGCACGTTTGTGTGTACATATATTTATAATAGGTTTGTTGGTAGGTCATTGTAATGGATTATAAGATTTCCGACGTGTAGTTTAAGTTATTTTTACATGTAACTATATAGATCTCAATAAACGCTTCAAAGAAAATTCCTTCACTGTAAGATACTGAAATAATACTTTATAAATATATGAACTACTATAACATTTTTTCACAAGTGGTATTTAAGTACACGTGGTATTTAGTGCATTTAGCTCAAAAAACTTTGTATAAATGAAATCGTATTCCTCGCGAAATACTAGAGCCTTTAGTTCGCCTGTTTGTCCGGAGACGCAGCCAAAACCCCAGCTTCTTATTGTATCGATGGCATACACTGTAATGTTTGTCACCGTGGTGAAACGGCCTCTCCACAATCGCGCGCGATTCACGCGCGAAGCCACTAGCTTCGCATCGCGTTCGCAGCTCGTTCCCGATTGTTGTCGGTATTTTGGTCCACAATGAAGGGTTCGCGATGCTTGAAACTTGGCGTGACCGCCACAAGGCTCCACATTCGCGTGCCGATAAGTAAGTGCCGCGGACGGTTGTGTTTATATGTTTATTGTTGACGATTTGAACGTGCTTAAAATGGCCGTGGATGGGTTGTCCCATGAAGTAGAACTAACTTTTTACATTGTTCTAGCAATTCTTTTTAGTAACCGTTTTTTCTTTATGAAAGCATACCTAATTGCAAATCGCAAAGTAATGTCGCAGTAGCAACAGTAACTTCGGCGTCCATCTTCGTCAAGCGCGCGAACTATACTGTGAACCTCTGCGAGTGTGGAACTGTAGCAGTTCATACCGCGATTCGTGCCGTGATTTCGCGCGTGAATCTCGCGCGAGGGTGGAGAGGCCTAAAGGATTTTGCCAATCCGCGTAAGGTGCTTGCTGATTGTCCCAAGGTGCCCCGGACGTACTGGAAAGGAATGATACGTCGTGCGGGAAGGCTCCTTCCGTGCTCTCCGAATTATTGCATTGTATTTTTGTTCTATAAAAATTCTCAGCGACCCATTGCTTAATATTGTTCAGCAAAAAAAAAACTCCACTTCGAGCATAGTAGTTTGTAAACTATTTTTTTTTATTTTACAGATCTACGCAAGTCCTACTAGTGTGCGCTGATACTGAAGATGACCTCCACATATATTCGCTATTGGAACCTAATGCAATTGTAAGTTTTCTTATTCAACATTACACTAATACGATAAACGAGAATGTTTCGTTATTAATTACTCAACGACGACGCGCCGATGCGGCTCAAGGAATTTGAACTAAACGTAGTTACGAACTGTGGCATACCTTTCATTAGCAATTTTACCTACACGTACCAGATTAAATAATTTGAAGTGTAAAAACAAGTTGAAGTCCTACGTAACTGTGCGCCAGAGTTGTCTCCTGTCTTAACACGACTGTTTCGCCTGTCACTTGAGACTGGTGTAGTTCCTAGGTCGTGGAAGTTTGCAAACGTGCAACCTGTGCCAAAAAAAGGAAGCATATCTGACCCTGTTAACTATAGACCTATCTCAGTCACTTCTACACTCTGTAAGACTATGGAACGTGTACTTAACAACCGTCTCCTGTCGTACCTTGAGGACAACGACCTCCTCAGTGATCGCCAGTACGGATTCTGACGAGGGCGATCTGCTGGCGATCTTCTTGTATATGCCTGTCACACTTGAAGCGAGGTTATAGAAAAGCAAGGCGAAGCACTTGCAGTGTCTTTGGACATTTCTAAAGCCTTTGACAGGGTCTGGCACGCAAGCCTTTTAAGCAAGCTTCCCTCTTATGGGCTTCCCAATGACCTTTGCAATTGGATCTCGGGTTTCTTAAGGGGACGTTCGATTCGGGTGACCTTAGAAGGCTACTCTTCCGAACATCGGGCGATAGATGCCTCCTCAGGTTTCCGTTCTGTTTGCAATTCTCTTTCTGATGCATATCAATGATATGTTAATACTAGGTACCTTCGCGTATGCTGATGACAGCACAGTTATGGACAGGTACTTGACCAATGCAAGGGTCAGTGGGGTGATAATCCAGTCTTGTCGAGAGTCCATGGTTAGCCGTTTAGGTAGTGCTAGACAACCACACTTTGGTCACACAGTATAAACACCAGAGCAACGGATTTGCACTACGAGACACCCGAACCACCCACACCAAAAGGGTCTTCTCTCGTTCTCTGTCCTACATCCGTCCAAAACAATTACTGACAAATAAGTAATACTTAAAATTTTTATTGAATTGATATTCAATTTTTTTTTGTGAAATAACGTCACTAGTTTGCTATAATTATTAATACAAAGATGCTGGAAGACGAACGACGAACGAAGATCGTTTCGAATCCGGCCGAATCGAAGGATTTTTTTCTGAGTGTTCGATATTTGTATTAATAATTATAAGTAATACTTTACCAAATTGAAAGACAATGTGTTTTGTGCGTGTTTTTTTAGTGTTTTTGTGCGTAAAAACATACAGATTTACGAGCGATGCACAGGCGGAGGCGGACTGTTACGTAACATAGGAATACTGAAACCCGTTGCTCATCGAACCGAACTTGCAACTAAAAATCCGCGAGTAATCGGGCCCCGATTTTACGAACACCTACCCACAAGTCCAAAATGTGTTACAAATGATGAAGTGTTTTGTTCCCGACTGAAAGACCTTTTATTGGATAATGAATACTACAGTGTAGAGGAATTTCCTTTCAAGAAATTGTAATTATATCTTTAATTTTGGACGTTTGGATTGTAAAAATATTTGAATTTTTATTTTTACAGTTGTAGTTTGTATTTTCCTTTATTTCTTTTAATTATTTTATTTTAATTATTTTGTTAATATATATTAACATTAAAATTATTATTTACCTTAATGACAATCATGTTATCCATTGATATTATATTTCGAATTGTGATATTATGAAATAAATGATTCTATTCTATTCTGTTCTATTCAATGTAAAGTATCAAGCTTCATTCGCATCATGCGCCTTTTAATTTGGTTGAATATGTTAGTAATTGTTTCGGATGGATGTTGGACGGAGAACAGAAGTAGATCCCCTGGACCAATTCAGAAGAGTTAGTTTTTTCGAAAGCCTTTACTTGGGATTCCCTCACCTAGCGGCCATAGCGTTAAACGACTGGGTCACCGCGGCCGTCGATTTGTTGAATCACACTATTTTGTTTTTACTACATTTATACTATATTAATACTACGCTTACTTAGGTCTTTAAGATCTCCACACGAAAATTCTCTTTTTGCCTTCATTGGACGGTATATGCACTTTTTGAATTTCCAGGTCCTTTCATTCTACTCAAGAAATGCGTGTCTCAAGCAAATTGAACCACCCGGTCGGTCATTGGGATCAACACTGTTAATAGTGTTCTTCTCGTGCGTCATTTTCTACCTCGTTCTCGGAGTTTGTACAAAGAAATTCCTAATGGGAGCGACAGGACTCGAAGTCGTGCCAAATCTCGCGTTTTGGACGGACCTACCTAATCTTATTAAGGTGAACCTAATTGTAATGTGTTTTTGTTTATTTCATTTATATATACAGTCCCAGAAATATAATTCGAGCCGCTTTGAACTTTCAGTATCAAATACCCTAAGTTTAAACAATGTTTGATTGTTCAAAAACTTTTTACTATGATTAATTATTGTGTTCTAATTCTTTAAAATAAAAATACAGGTGGCTCGAATTATATGTTTGGGAGTGTATTGTCATCCCGGATATATTTAAATGATTAATACACCGCTTGTAACCAAAAACTGAGCATTTTCAGGTGATGATAATACATAAAAAATTAAATGGGAAAATATATATTTTTTTCTTATGTTTGAGATGTTTGTTGTAGTAAATATAAACAAAACTTTGTGTATATATAGTTGAGATTCTGAGTAACTTAAACAGTTTCATAGATATTAAGTAGAACAATTGTGGTTTAAACGGCAACACTGTCTTAAATTTTGACAGAGGAGCGTAGAAACTAGTTTCAATTGCCACGCTGAACCGAAAATTTTTTCTAATCTTTCAAATGGTAATGTACTAAAATTAAAGTAAATTACTTTGCTTAACGTAAATTACGTTAAATCCTGGTACAACATTAATAAAATTACTAACACAAAGGCAACTACAAACTTTACCACCAAAAATATACCTGACACGTGTTTCGTCTCAGTCTGAGACATCAGAAGTTGTTTGTAGAGATAGATAATTGTACTGTATGTGTGTGCATGTCTTGATAATTGTGAGTGGTGCGTGTGGGTTGGATGTGACCGATTTCAAAGGAGGAGGTTCTCAATTCCACTATTCTCTTTGTATGTATGTATGTATGTATGTTAGGCGATAACGTCATTTGTGAACCGATTTTGATGATTTTTTTTGTTGGAAAGAAGGTATCTCGGTATTGGTCCCTTTTAAATTTGATGAACATATTCCACCTCTAAGGGTGGCAAACTAGGGGATGAATCCGGTTTCCGGTAACCGATTTCATTAAAACTTGGCAAATGGATGTAATTTCACGAACTTTTGAGGTCGGTTTTTTTTTTATTAAAAATTATAGTTATTATAGCTATAATTCTAAAACAGTTATTTACATTTGCAGGACGGTTGGGCGTTCACTATTTCCGGCTTCAAGCTACCACCCCGAGCATCGGGTCACGTGACTTCTCCGGACCCTAACAGCTACGACAGCATATAACATCGGGATCTGTCCGAGGGACAACTCGTTCTCGTCGAGTGAAACCCTATACAACAGCAATTGTGTTAGTATTGTGGTAGGGAGAAATCTGAATATGAATAACTCTGAACTTAAATTAAATTCTTAAATGTGTCAACCTACGGATAATGGTACCTTGTAATGTCAAAACTAAGTTTTAAACTCAAATAATCTTTTCATAGGTACATAAATTCCACTTGAAAACGTCATATTAATTAAACTCTACTTCTCATTCCCCTGAGAATAATGAGCAAGAATCTCTAGGGGTTGCTTTTTATAAATATACTTTTGGATGTAGTAGTCTATTCAATGCAATGTGTAAAGCCTCTACAAATTCATCACATAATGATATTTTTACAAGTAAGTCGATTGTAATTATTTCAATTTAAGATTTGCGTTTCTCCACTATTCAATTTATTGTCGATATTTTGGAAAACACGTTTTGTTTTCTTAATGTAATTAAATCACGAAACAACCTTTTGATGGCCACTTCTCGTATTTTGTGTGTAATGTAATGAATTTATCTACAAATTTTGTTCTAAATAATGGATACGATAATATCTTTACTCATGATGGAGTTAATTTACCATAATAAAAGTTCGTTTGATGTCTTTTATAAATTTGTATAATGTAAAATATATGTATGGCCTACATTTATTTCTCTCGTGAGTTTGGGTGTAATTTCTGGTTGTCTATGTGTATGTCTATGGCACCCGCGATACTGTAGCGAACACTGTAGTGTTTCCCTAGAACGGGGCTATGAGTGTGTGCGCGTTATTATTATTTTAACCAGAAAGCGGTAGTTTCTTATTTTTCTATATGAAAGTTAAGTTGGTGACATTGCACCTTTAAAATATTTTTATACCAAACTTATACTTTGAAGTGTCATCAATAGGACTGCACGCCCTTACTACTATGTCATAATTAAGCTCATAGTCAATTTGTAATGGAACTAAATGGTTTACATATACAGTCACGTATTCCCCTTTTAGAAAACGTGGCTTGAACAATCGTTTATTTGTAATACGGAGAACTCATATTTTGTTTTACAACTTTTAACTTTTTATTTTTGCTAAAGTTGGTAGGTATCATGAGCCAATCACCTTAAATACGACCCGAACTTTTCTTATATCCTGTATATTACATTTGAATTTTCGTTTATAGTAAATAATATTATTACATTTGGATAGTGTGTAAATGTACGTGATATTATATTTAATAATTATTGAAATAGGCATTAGTTTATATGTACGTTCATTTTTATCAGAACGAAAATATTTATAACGGTCTCCTAAAGTACTACCTGTTCTTTTACCGAATATTAGCGACCTTTTATCAGTATCGAATAGTAAGCCTCCACTCTTAAATTTATTATTAAAAAAAATGTAAATCCAATGTATATTCTGTAGATTTGCATTTATTTAAAAAAAACATAATTCAGATTCATCTCTACCTAATTACATTAAAGAAGCAGACAGATGGCTACTGTAGCGTGTCTGAGACGTATTTCCAGCAAGATTGCATTAGTTGCGAAAAATTGTCACGAATTTCGAAACTTATTATGCCTAATAAGCAAAGAAAATGTTTATTAAAAAAGATCACGAACGTGGAACGTTTTCTCAACGAATGTCACATATAAATAAAATTGGCACGTGTGTATCTACACTTTAATATATTATGTATTGTTTTGTTCTGTATTAGGGTGCGTGCAGATCTGGCGAATGTGCTTGTTTGCGAAAGGCTCGCGAGCTGCGCGCGTGCATTACGTAGTGCGATCTGTTCGCGTGCCGTTCGCGTTACGTTCGCGTTCAAAGTCTATGCTTGATTTTTTTTGCATAAGACATGACTATTGAGGCGCACATGCAGATTCACCAGATTTGAACGCATGCTTATATAATAATGTACATGTACGTTCGATTTAAAAGTTTCAATTGCTTTAAAACTAGGCATAATACCCATAAATTGGTCGGGAGTATAGTATTTTTTCACTGTACTCATAAATTATTAAAAAATATACCTTTTTTTGTTCGGGTCACATACGATGCTTGCTATGTTATACGGGCCACGACATTTTTGTTTTAGGTCATCCATTTGAAATTGGTAGGGATCTGACGTCACAAATAAAATCCCCATGTAACAAATAAAACACATCACCTGAGTATATTTCGCTCAAGATTTTATTTTTAGAAACACACAGTTTAAAAAACAACACTTATTAAATACTTAATAGTGTTTCGGGACACACGTGAAAGCTTGACAGACCGCATGCGGCCCGTGGACCGCAGGTTGAGTATGGTCGATCTAAAGTAAACTATTTCGGATCCATGAAAACAATATTTCATGAAAATTTGTGCAATAATTTTATCGCAGTATAAAATAAATTGTTATTTAATAATTGAAGCGATTAATTTCGTCTTAACATAGACATTAATAGATTTATCATGACCGACCGATCGGAAATAACAGCGGCATAATATTTGAATTATTATTACGGTAATAGGAAGTACATTACTCTTTATTAGTTTACATAATCATGCCAGATTTAGTGTGAATTTAATATTTTGTAATTAGTAGTTGTTTTTCATTCTTTACGTAATTTTTATATTCTCTATTATTCTGTTTTATTGTGTGTTGTTAGATTAGTTTTTTAAGTTCTTTTGACTTATATATCTTTTAAACAGAATAATAATATGTTTAGGTAGTTCGCTATATCAAATGGGTGCCTATATGTTTAGCGAAAAATATAGACTAATTAAAAAGTGCTCGTATTTAACATTCTATACGTGACATGGGGTGTCTATTTTAACTGGTACGTACTCTAAATGCAGAAGTGATTTTGTATAAGAAAAATCACCAGTTTTTACAAATCTTAGTGAGCGACCTCACTTTAGCAAAACACGTATCAGCACAGTGCCCCTCCTAAACGTCTCCGTTACGAATGTTGTCACGCTTCAGTGTTAAGCCCAAGCAGCATATATTTAAACACTTTAGTGCATTGGTTCCCAAGTTTTTGGCTCACCGCCGACGTAGGCAAGATAAAAAAATTCAGCTTATCGACTACAACTTGTCACAAAAAACCACAAGGAAAAAAATGTATTTGTACTGTAGTTTATAATAGATTATTCAGATTTTTTTCCCCCCAATTGCTTCCGAGGCCTCTACCGGCCCCTTAGGACTTCAACGCCCACTAGGTGGGGACCACTTTGTGAAACTGTGCTTTGTGAGTACGGAAACGGATTTAAGAATACTTTTATTCCAGCATAGTAACGCTTATAGTTACGCTTAGCAACGCTTATCTTTGAAAGGTATAGGACTTATTCTTAATAATATTTCATCTTTACTTCCTAGCAATCAATAAAATAATTAATACCTACAAATTATAATGCTTCCTGTGGAGTGTAATGGTGTAAAGAAAACTATCCTATGAGCTGATTGCTGTTTTAGTTTTTCGTTACAATATAGAATGTACCTTCAAAAGAGAAACCAATTTTAAATTGAATTTGCCACATATATGAACCCATTTCATATAGTAAACTTCTTTAAAATATCGCTCAAGACCAAGAAATGTGTCAACGTTTTAATGTTTTAGATTGTAATTTATTAACTGACTTCTTTTCAAGGACATATTTAGTACATGAAATTAAACAAGTTTTATTATTGAAATAGTGAAATAAAACAAAGAAACAAGCGTCGAGTAACATTCATTATGTGACAACTTATTGTTATTTTTCATCCTAGAGTCTGCGTTAAAAGTATGGTATCGTATACTAAATATATGTTTAAAAGGATGTCTATAAATAAATTGGTACCTCTCTATATATAAAATACACGACAAAACGGCATCTAACGACCCTTACCCTTAATAATATATATATACAGGGTGTAAATTTGAGACTGGGCAGCAAGGCCAGCTACCTAAATCGTTGTAGTTACAGGATAATGGTTCTATAAGACTTTCCATGAATTTCGAAGATATTTTGATTGGCATTCACAGATTTTGAAAAAATGGTACAGTCAGCAAGATAAAAGGGAATTTTTACATAAAATCTCTTAATAAAATATCTTCAAAATTTTTGCTTTACTTTGCTGCGTCAGATATACTCTATTCCTAGTTCAGTTGACCTGACTGAACTAATGAGATTTTATTTCCTCTATTCCCACTAGTTCAGTTGTCCATCCTCTCTATACTAGTTCTGT